ACACACACACACACACACACACACACACACACACACACACACACGCACACGCACACACGCACACACACATGCACACACACATACAGATGATTTACGGAAAGTGCTTTGATTTCCTTAGGGACAGGTACACAAACACAGGTGCACTTGTATGTGTGTGTGTGTGTGTGTGTGTGTGTGTGTGTGTGTGTTTGACCTGAGGGCCACAGTAAATAATAACACAAGCATGCGTGTTTGTGTGTGTGTGTGTGTGTGTGTGTGTGTGTGTGTGTGTGTGTGTGTGTGTGTGTGTGTGTGTGTGTGTGTGTGTGTGACAGCGAGAGCATCTGACCTCAAAGTGTGTTAGGAGGTCAGAAGTAATCAGGTTCAGATGATGTCATCCATCAGGACCGAGTCACAGCAGAAGAATGTGTGTTTGCCAGCAGCATGGCAGTAACTGGATTATTTGCATCTTGTTTGCATTTTTATGAGGTCTTTAATGGCCGACTCTGATGTTCACTTACTGTGCTGGTAAACCGAATCAAGGACACACACGATCGAACGATGGAACAAAACCTTAAAGTCAACCAGCTAATTCTGCAGTCACGGGGGTTAATGCAAACATGCATTAAGACCCATTAGACGTGCGTTTACACACACAAGGGATATTGTTCAGGGTGAAAGTGACCGCGCAAGACCTCCTTCTGTGAACTGCAGAGGGAAAGCTAAAGAAAGGTCTACAAAGAGAGATCAGCTATAAGCTTGCATGTGTGTATAAATCGCAATTGAGTCTTTTAGCAAACTTAGCTTTAAAGCCACTTGCCTAATAACAAGCTCGGCGACCTTGCTGTGACCTGCGCTTGAGTGTTTTGCTCAAGGACACAACTTCGATTCTTCATCGAGTTCATGCAGAAATTAAAATACTGTCACCATGCTTCTCAGCCTTATGAAATATGAATGGCAGATTTTTCTTTAGTAGGTGTTATACAACATTTTTTTGTTTCAAGAATGATGAAACGCAATTAAAAACATACATGGATATCCTGTTGCATCGCCTTTATGTAACCGATGTACAGTGTTGGGGAGTAACTAGTTACATGTAACACCATTACGTAATTTAATCACAATATAAACGTAACAGTAATTCGTTACAGTTACTGAGAAAAAATGTGTAATTAAATTACAGTTGCTTATAAAAATGTTAAAGATTACAAATGGGGTTACATCTAAATATGTTGAATAATATTAATCTGTTGCTTTGCCTGTTTTTGATATGCACAATGCTCTCTACTAAGGACATTTATTAAAGCGGTGCTTTTCTGATGCTTTTAATTGGTTTTCCGATTTAATTGCGGCGCACCACGTCTACCAGTTACGTTAATCCTCTCTGCCACTGAAAGCACTAGGCTGCTACAACCAGTCTGAGAGCTGCAAGTAGTGACACTTCAAGTAGTGACGCTACTAGCTTAGCATTTCTCAGTAGCATGGCGGTAGCGTTGCTACTTTATAAACCAAAAAGCTTTTCAGCAAAGCTATTTTATTAGTCAAGTAGCGCAGTAGCGCCAACACAAGCTACATTTACCGATCGCAGATCAATAAGTGATGCCATCGACATTCACAGAGCTTTGAGGCCAGTGTCTAGCCAATGAAAGTAAATCCTTATAATGGCGAGAATTTTGATTTCTACTTTCTGTTTTTCGGTGGTCAACAACAAACTTTTAGTGCGTTACTGCCACCTCTTGCTCTGGTCGGTAACGTCACCAACCAATTAGGCTAACATGAGAAATTTCCTTGATGGAAAGATGACTGAGGGAGAGGAGGTCTACTATATATATATATATATATATATATATATATATATATATATATATATATATATATATATATATATGGCTAAAGTATACTATGATAATTACTATTCGTTCATGATAGTTACTAATGTTATTACATTATGTAGTGTAATTCATTAATGAAGAGTTGTAAATATAAATACAATATAATGCTTGTTCCTAAATATTTCCCTTAAATACAAATGACTATAGTATTTTAAATGTGTAACACTTGGTTTTATTGGATTTTTTGTTTCTGCTGTTATATACTAACTTGTTTCTGTTTTGTACAGCATATTATTTACAGTAAATAACTGAACTGAACAATCATGCCTCATACAGTATGTTTCATTGACAGGTTTATTGATCTCTAAGATATGATTGACTTGGATTTAAGTTGCTTTGATTTAAAAATTAAAATGGCAAAAATTCTTTTTTTTATTGTATTTTTATTGCAAGTGCCACAAAAATTGCCCTGCACAACTAACTAAAATTTTGATTTTGTAACAACAGTAAACTTTAATTATAAAGGTTATAAAGGTCTGGTTTTCTGGTGGCTACAGTTTAAAATTAAATTAATATAAACTTATTTCAAGTGATGAAAGATTTTGAAATTCTAACAGTAAACAGCGCGTGGATGCTTGAAAATGATTATCCATTAGAAACTTAAAAAATAATCAAAAAGTAATCAGATGTAATCAGCTACTTTACTTTTATAAAGTAATTGAAAAGGTACAATACTTATTACCTTTTTAATGGGTAATTTGTAATCTGTAATCTATTACATTTCCAAAGTAACCTCCCCATCACTGCCAATGTAATAAACATTAGGTTACCATTATGCATTTTTTATGGAACTGTAAAAAACTAAAAGAGTTTTGGGATTTATACATGAGTTTTCTGTGATGGTCCTGGGAAAGAAATATCACAAGACACCTTTAATATATATTTTTCTAGGTCTAATTTCTTTTGTATCTAGGAAACGTATTCTGTTAAATTGGAAATACAAACTCCCTCCAGCTTTTGAATTATTTAAAAATATAAATGAGACCCTGCATTTGGAATATTTAACATTTAGCTCAAAAAACAAAACATGCATATTTTTAGAAACCTGAAATATTTTTATGAACCCTTTGACCTGTGCCTACATAATACCTATTGTTATCACTCTGACGCTGTAATCTGATTCCAGTTATATTCTAGTAACATAACCTGTATAAGTTGATATGCATGTTTTTATATTTGTATGCTCAGATGCTAATTAATGCTGAATATTCTTTTGTCAATTGTGATGGTTGTTATATTGTAAAAATAAATAAATAATAAAAAAAATACATAAAAACATACATGGACCAAGTTTATATTTATTGTACGTGATCTAGAGTAAAAAAAAAGATATATTGGCATGATTTGTTTGTGTGCACAGCATTGTATTTCCAGTGCAGGTATAGGATTTATGGAGTGGACCAGAAAATTACCCATTTATTTTGTCAGTTGGTTATTGAAAGGATAATTAGATATGGAATTATGGTATGGTTTGGTAACCTGGCAGTTTTATCAAAGTCTGAGCCTGCATGCCTTGGAAAAATTGCAGACTACACAAAAAACAGAATATCAGTTCTTAGTAATATGAGTTATTGAGTTAACAGTCGATTCTTAAGGAAGCACACAACATTTTAGCTGACCCACTGCATGTAAATATGGAAGATGTTCATAATTTTTGGTGAGAATCCTTTATAGTTATATACATATTTATAAAATAGTAAATAACAAATTAAAATTACATTAATAATACATAGGGTATAATTTTTTTTTGTAGTGTTATGTATTGGTATGTTTATTGTTCATGGGTCCGAAGTGTTGTCGATGTAAATAGACCTTGAATCCAAGGTTATTTTAGTAAACGAAAATTAAAAATAAGACAAACTAAAACTATTAGCCAAAACACCTTTTTGTAAACTGAAATACAATAAAAGGTAACACTTTATTTTGATGGTGAGTATTAGTAGACTGTCTGTTTAATATCTGTTGATACTGCTCCTTCAACATACATTTAACTGACTATAAGAAACTTTGTAAATGCATGTCAACTTACACTAAGCCTAACCCTAACCCCAACCTAACAGTATACTTTTAATCTAATGAGAAGTAGCTGGCATCTGGATGCAATGTAACTAAATTCAACATATGGACCATCAAAATAAAGTGTGACCCACTAAAAAAATTCACAACAAACAAAAAACTAAAACAAAACTAACAAGAGTCACTGAAAAAAAAAAAACTGTTATAAAATAAAAATAAGCAAAAAAATAAATAAAAATTTCAGAATTCATAAGAACTCACATTGTAGTGGAAAAATGTGATCTGTGACTGTTTAAAAAAATACCTGTAGCTGCGCTTTAACAGACAAACAAGCACATAATTACATACAAAAAATGCTCATAAACATGAAATCCGTTCTATATTTTCTGCTTTTTATAAAAGTAAAAACTAGGCATGTTTACTACATATCCATGTACATTATGACCATTTGTATGGTTTTGGACTCAAACAATAATTTTAGGCTGTGTGTCCAATGAAACGTTTTTACGCTGCAGAAACGCGAGCACTGATCTTACAACGCTCACATTTTTGAAGCACAGTGTTGTTTTCAGTTGGCTGCTATGAGGGTATTCCCACTGCCAAGTTACTATTGCCCCGCCCGTCCTCCACTGTGATTGGACAGCTCAAAAGTGACACTCAATTTGCAATGGCTGAAAAAACGGTAAACTCTAAGCACTGACTATAAAACACAGACTCAATGCCTCACTATGCTGTAGGCACTCAAAAAGCACAACACAACCATTGACAACAACAGAAAACAAACGCTCAGCTTGACAAAAAAATGTTTTGGTGGACATGCAATCTTATTTTAAATAAGCTTTGCTCTGGTTAACAATAGAGGTGTTGTATTAAAACTAAAACTAAACATTTAATAAAAAGAAACTAGAAATGTATTTGCAAAATAAAAACTAAAGTTCACAAAACTATTGATAAAATGAATGTAAAGCAAATTTTTAAATAGTATTAAAATAAAAACTAATGCAAATGCAATAACAAATTCCAAGACAAATTTCTTGTTACGAAGATGACAAAGCTTATTTTATATTTTGTATGAGCAGTCATTCACATAGACCGTACTGCAGCAGAGTTTACCTGGTGTCCTTCTTGTTATTCTGGTTACTGGTAACACTGGTCGGCCTTATGGAGCGTTTCTTTGGTTTTACATCTTCATTTGCCTTAAAAAACGAAAAAAAAAATATATATATATTTATTATATAATATATATTTATTATTTTCTATTATATATTATTTATATATACTCAGTTGAAGTCTGAATTATTAGCCCCTCTTTGATTTTTTTCTTTTTTAAATATTTCCCAAATTATGTTTAACAGAGCAAGGACATTTACAGTATGTCTGATAATATTTTTTCTTCTGGAGAAAGTCTTATGTTTTATATTTTGTCTAGAATAAAAGCAGTTATTAATTTTTTAAACACCATTTTAAGGACAAAATTATTAGCCCCTTTAAGCTATTTTTTTTCAATTGTCTACAGAACAAACCATCATTATACAATAACTTGCCTAATTACCCTAACCTGCCTAGTTAACCTAATTAACGTAGTTAAGCCTTTAAATGTCACTTTAAGCTGTATAGAAGTGTCTTGAAAATATCTAGTCAAATATTATTTACTGTCATCATGGCAAAGATAAAATAAATCAGTTATTAGGAATGCGTTTTTAAAACTATAATGTTTAGAAATGTGTTGAAAAATCTTCTCTCTGTTAAACTGAAATTGGAGAAAAAATTAAACAGGGGTGCGAATAATTCAGGGGGAATATATATATATATATATATATATATATATATATATATATATATATATATATATATATAGGTCTGCAGACAAAGTCTAGTTTTACACAGTTTCAACTGTGAAGTAGATAAATTGTTCAAGTGAGTAGTCGATGTCCATGAGCAGAGGATTTTTTGTCCATCAATAAATCCATAAAAATGAATATTTACACAAATATTTAGCAGCCCAACAGTTGTCAGTACAGACAACATTTTCCAGAATAGACAAATATATTAGCTTCAAATCAAGATACTGATTTATCAAGTATTGTGTGACACTGAAAACTAGTGTGATGACTGCTGAAAATTGCCAGTAAAGGAATAAACAATTTCTTTTTCATAGATTAGTTTTTTTTGCATTTTTAATATTATTTCCTCATTTATTAATTTTCCTTCGGCTTAGTCCCTGATTTTTCAGGGGTTGCCACATTGGAATGAACCGCCTAATATTACTTAAATAACCTGTAATTCTATAATATAGAATTAAAAATATATCTTACATTTTGCATAATTTTTCACTAAATTTTTTATTATTTATTATTTTTTTATTATTTTAATTCTTTATTGTATCTTAATGGTCTGACAGCATGATGGTAAATTTTAAATACACGCATTTCCTTATCATTAACATCGCATCATAAAATCTTAATGCAATAAAAAATGGTCAATTTAAATAAATCAAATAAGAAAATGCTGAATAAAATAGATTCAGATGAAGCAAGTCTACTTTCAACAAGCATTTCATAACTGTTAACAATATTATGGCAGTTCTGGGATTATTGATGAATGATTTTTTTAATGATAAATGTGTGGTCACTGTGGGAATAAACTGTAACCTTTGAATTGAAATGATGTTGAAAGACATAATCTAAGAGTTTCTGGAGCTGTGTTTGAGGTGTAGTGAAGTGTACCAGAGGCAGGATGAGGAGCAGGTGGCCGGTGGTTTGGGATCTCTGTGCTGAGCTGCTGTCAGGTTTCACTTCTGCAGGCAAAACTAACTGGAACACCTCAACACACACATACACACGCTTTTATTAATGCGAGGTTTCAAGCACTTGCCACTGTAAAAGTGATCTACAGTATCACTAGTCATAAACTCATATCCATCAATACTGAGATGCGCACACATGTGAGGTGTGCTGGTCTGCGGCAGATTTGTGAGGAAATGAGGTAGAATAAAGAGTGTAGATTTACCGCCGGGTAATCAGCTTTAAAGGTCAAACTCATCAGATGAGACGAAGAGTGAGAGAGAGAAGGATGGAAAAAGAGAGAGAGAGAGAGAGGGAGAGGAGAGATGGATAGCCTACCTTTCCTTTGACGGTCACTCTCACATACATTGGCTGAACATCCACATCCAGCAGCGAAGAGTCCATATGCCTACAGCACAGAAGAGAGCGATGTGAGAGCCAATGCTGTTAGGAGAGAGTTACTAAATGACAGAGAAATGCACTCAAAGAAAGAAGTAGAACTGCTGAGTCATGGTTGGATTGTTTTGTGGTGAGTGTGTACCTGTAAACATTTAAATCCAGAAGCAGGCAGTTGTTTTCATCTTCAGAAAGACTAAAGTCCAACCTTGATGTGATCAGGAAAAATATATATTTTCAAACTTGTGCTAGTTGTTTAGGTGTTTTTATATTTTTTAATTGTAGTAAATAAACTTGTAATTATAAATTAGCCTCTACAGATGCAATTCTGACACAATATCCTGTGACTTTGACCTTTCACGTCTCATTTCAAGTCTGAGAAAAGAAAAACTTAAATTTCAAAGAACAAATTCAGAACTGTGTGATGTAACCTCATAATTCTTATAATAAAACCTGAATTGTGAGATTTAAACTCAGATTTCTTAGAAACAATTCAGAACTGTCTGATGTAACCTCATAATTATTATAAAAAAGGAAAATTAAGATGTAAACTGAACTGTGTGATACAAAGTCATAATTCTTATAAAAAATGTCAAAATTGTGAGATGTAAACTGAAATTTCTTAGAAAATATTCAGAACTGTGTGATGTAAAGTCATAATTCTTAGAAAGAATTCAGAATTGTGATAAATTAGCTTAAATTTCTAAGAAAAATGCACTACTGTGTGATGTAAATTCATAATTCTTATAAAAAAGTCAGAACTGTGCGATGTAAACTCATAATTCTTAGGAAAAGAATGTCAAAAATGTGAGATGTAAACTGAAAATTCTTAGAAACATTCAGAACTGAGTGAAATAAACTCATAATTCTTTTAAAGAATTCAGAATTGTGATATATAAACTCAAATTTTTTAGAAAAAATCATAACTGTGTGATGTAAATTCATAATTCTTATAAAAAGTCAGAATTATGAGATTTCAACTCAAAATTTCTTAGACATATTTTAAAACTGTGTGATGTAAACTTAAACATCTCATAAAAAAGATTGTAAAAGTTATGAAACGTAAACTCAAATTTCTTTAAAAAAACTGATGTAAACTCATAATTCATATGAAAAATCTAAATTGTAGGATGCAAACTCAAATTTCTTCAATAAAAATACCCTAATGTGTGATGTTAATTCATAAATCTTATTTTAAAAATCCAAACTTTGAGGTGTCAACTCAAATTTCTTCAAAATATTTTAGACCTGTGTGTGGTAAACTCATAACTCTCATAAAAAAAGTCAAAATTGTAAGATGTAAACTCAAATTTCTTAGGAACAATTCAGAACTGAATAAAGTAAACTCATAAATCTTATAAAAAACTAAATGTAAGATGTAAACTCAAATTTCTTAGACAAAATGTTAGAATTGTGTGATATAAACTTATAAAAATAATTCAAGATTGTTAGGTGTAAACACATTTTTTAGAAATAATTCAGAACTGTGTGCTGTGAACTCATAATTCTTATAATCCTTCACTTGTCAATTGGTGAAGTTTGTTCCTCGCCACTAGTTTGCTTAGTTTGGGATTTGCGGAGCTGCGCATTGTTGGATTTTCTCTTCAGTGTTTTGGCCTTCAGCAGTGACAATCATATTCCACTGCACTGAACTAAACTGAACTTCAACTCTGAAAACTGGACTGAAGTAGTTTTCGTTTGCTAGAGCTTCTTTGTTAAGCTGCTTTGACACAATCTACATTGTAAAAGCGCTTTAGAAATAAAGATGAAACAAATTAAATGTAAAATCTAAATCTTACCAAAAATCTAAATTGTGAGGTGCAAACAAATTTAAAAGGTTAGAACTCTGAGATGTAGAAGATTTCTGAGCGAAAAAAAAGTCAGAATTGTTGCGAGATATAAACAAAATTGTTGTGAAATGTAAACAAAAAATTCTATCCAATTTGCGCTTCTGTTTATGTCTCTTTTTTTAAGAAGATATATTTTGTTTCTTAATGTATATTTCAACATTCTTTTTTTCATTGAACCGTAAGTATAAAAAGCCTAAACTGTGAACTACACAAAAAAATGGTGTTATATAATATCCTGTGGGTTTCCTTATGTTTGAGTTAGTGTGTGACCTCATTCATATCTATAGCTGGACTGGGGCGTTGCTGATATAGATTTATGATCTATACCATATCCCTTGTGTATTTCCAGTTTCTCACTATAAATAGACTCCTGTTTTCACCTGTGCTTTTACAACCTACAAGCCCCGGGCTCACATAACTAGACTTTTGTCTCCTAGAACTGATTCTTAATCTCGTATTTCACATAACTTTTTGACATTTTATATTGGATTCATTATGAGTTTTGCATCCGACACATCATTTATTCATGAATGTGGAAAGCTGTCAGGAATCTATGATGTGAAGTGTGGGCTGCACATAACCGCATCCTGATTTAAACTAAACTGCCCATATGTAAGCAAGCACTGTGTGAAAGTGTCAGTACATGGCCAGAATAATCCGCTAAGTAAACCAGACTAAAAAGGCTCACAATCAAATGTATGGCTACAGAAAGGTTTTGTCTGTGCATGAAGTTTTATGTGTGTACTACTTAGGCTCGTTGACATTCAGCACACGTCCGTCTGGAGTGATCAGTGTTCTTGGAGTTTTGGTTTTTGGCTTCTCTCTGTAAAAACACAAAATTAATTGCTGTCGGTCAAGGTGTTTAACAAACATTCAAAAGTTTAATCTTAACCCCTTCGGAGGGACCCTGTGTCCATTACAATGGACATCACATGTTAGCTCAAGTTTTTTTTTTTTTTTGTGGTTTCTGAGCATTTCATCTAATTTAAAGGCTGCAGTCCATGTGAGTGGAAGTTTGTCATCCAATTAAATGGCAGTAAGCTTTGGCATGTTGTAATTTGAAAAGAAAATCCACTACACTAAAAAAGCAGCATGGCATCACTTCACTCCAGACACATACGTATTGATTTGTTTGCCAATATTTCATAGATTGTTTGTAAAAAAGAGGGATTGCACTTACTATTTAATGTCAATGTTTGTGACTTTAAAAATAAATTTCAAGATTATACCAATAATTTTTCTTTTTTTTTCTTCTTTTTTTTGTATTTTATGTTGGTATAATGTTCAGGAAGTACTCCCTGTATTATCTGGCTAACTGTCCTTCTGTAAAGTCAAAAAAATCCTCAAGTTCAAACTTGAGTCCATGTTGCCAACATGGGCTTTAGATGAAGAATCCATAAAGTTATTCATTTGGTAATGATTTCTTTTTTCGGCACTAGTAACAATCCCTACACTGTAAAACCCTGATTCGTTAATTTACCAGTTGCCTTAAAAGCCACAAGTTGATTTTACTTTAAAAAGGCAGTGAACCCATTGACTTGACTAAACTTTTATAATTACACACATAGTTTGTAATAATAAATATAAGGCAATAAGTTTACTCTCTTTTTTATAGTGTAGAACAGTACTAGGGACAAAAATATGTCATCGAACTATTAAAGAAACAAAACAAAAAGAAAGTCTGAATCTTCCATCATTTGTGGATTGGTTCAGTCTTAGAGGGTTAAATACAGATTGCAAACTGCAGATAACATTACAATTTTGCACAAACTTCTCTTTCTCATTGGCTCTCCTCTTCTCCTCCAGATGGCGATGGGCCTCTAGTCTGGACTCTGGTGTGAATGGGCACGGCTTCTCCCAGAATTCCCTCTCCTCGTCCTCTGCCTCTGTGTGAGTCTTGGAGCTTGATTCTGGATACTGTTGGGTTCCATTTTGGCTCTCAGAGAGCGATCTGTGTGAAATCATTACTGCAGATAAACTTCACTTGTTCATCCAAAACACAGGTACAAGTTCTCTGAAAATACTCTAAAATGAAATTCAGCTGTTTCCTTTATGACAAACAGGGATGGGCAAAAATACATTGAAATGTATTTTAAAGTAAAATAACAAATACATTAACTTTAAGTTTATCAAAATAAACTACTTTTTTTAAATACTGCAAAATACTTTTTAAAGGGACCAAAAAATTTATTTGCAAACTCTCCATCTATAGGTCCATTAGATCAATCCCTTCACCATTAAGCTGACTAAGTAAACAATGTTTGACAGCAACAGCTTTTCTCTGCCACTTTGTTCACCTATAGGGGAAGTTGTGGCCTAATGGTTAGTGAGTTGGAATTGTAACCCAATAGTAAACTTCTTGCAAAGTATTTTACAGTAATTGGAAACTACAAAAATACAAGACACTAAAGTACATCCACCCTATCATATACAAATTACAAAATAGTATTTTTGTATTTGAAATCCGTATTTGAAATACATGTATCATAAATACTGCCCATCCATAATGACAAATCAGTATAAAAAGCCTATGTTGTCTCTAGTTTTAAACATGTTTCTGGAAATTCTGCAATTTTGAGGGTACTTCAAGCATTTGTGGGCTTGACAAACCATCTGTAGGAAACACATTACTTTCCTCTCCATGTGCACCAGACACCTTATAAACACTCCATTTTTCTGAAAAACTTTGTACAATTTTGAGTGTATTTCATGCAAATGAGTGGGCTTGACTAACCACCTGTAGAAGTCATAAGTCATTATACGCATCCCAAATGGCACACTATACACTGTACACTTACAGACTTAACAGCATACTAGGGTTTTTACGATACTGGAATTCGGTATCAATCACTGTTTACTGGGTGTAACCGCATATATAGGGACACTGGAGCGTTTCAAAGTCACCTCAATCAGCTGGTTTGTCTATAAACTGACAAGCGATAAATCGCAGCTGTAAAGCGCTCCAGTGTCACTGTATCAGTAGTTACACTCAGAAAGTTTGGTAACCAGATGACTTTTAGGACCAATCAGTCATTTCTGTTGACTAGCAAATCAGCGGTGTTCAAGAACGTGCTCAACATCGCTTAAATGTTCACGGGAAATGGACGTTTTTAAAATTTCAGAACCAATTGGTATCGATTTCCAGTATCGTGACAAGCCTACAGTATACTATATGTATGTAGTGTCGTGCCAAATGGAACACTAATAGGTTTTTTACTAAGCTGAAATTCAAACAATTTCCCTGAGGACATTTGACAGTTACCAAATTAGTAAAATAAATGACCAAACTACCAAATAATCCCTGCCATGAGTATATCAGGAGGCGGCATAATCTCTTTGGGAGGATAATTTTGCTTTCACAATCCAAAATAAAATATAGCTGCAAGCAGCAATTATCGGGGCCAACTATAATGCACTACTTAGTCTATTTATTCTACAAAATGGCGTCGAACAGTGCATAAGTATGCGATTTGGGGACGCACCTACAGTATACTCTTTCCTTTCTGTTTGCATGTGTTTAAGTGTACATTTATATGTACATAATTATGTGTGTATATTCATATGAATGTATATAAAAATTGATAAACTAACTTAGACTGTGTATCTTAAACTTGTCATGGCATCAATATATTGCTCCTCTATGTGATTCGAGGTGCTTCTTTTATCCTCATTTGTAAGTCTTAGGTTAAAAGCGTCCACTAAATGAATAACTGTAAATGTGTGGTTAGTTTAGCTAATCTCAGTCTTTGGAAGTTGAATAAATTTGATTGAAACTGCAGAAATCATTATAGTGATTTCAATTTGCCCAAAATTCTCTGTCTTATAAATTCACTTTATGCAGCCCAAATGATATTTTAGTGCACCTATCCAAACAAACAGTCATCTAAACTGTAGTTATCTTTAGACACTCACTGGTTTATTTCAGGATGCTCATTCGCATTGCTCTTCTGCTTCTCTCTTTCCTCTAAATACTCTGTTTCCTGCTGTAAGACACGTGTCCTCACTGCATCCAGTTCCTGCAGGGCCTGGATACGCTCAGCTCGGCTAATTTCTTTCCCATCCAACGACTGCAAACAACAAAAAGCATCATTCATAAATAGGGCAAACCTACAGTAAACATCAAGGATGATACCTATAACACTAACAATTAAATTACAGCTTTAGAAATCATCCATACTATGCCAAATTATAAACATTCATTCATTCATTCATTTTCCTTTGGCTTGGTGCCTTTATTCATCAGGGGTCGCCACAGCTGATGCCCTTCCAGCTGCAACCCAGTACTGGGAAATATCCATACACACGCACTCACTATGGCCAATTTAGTTTATTTAATTCACCTATACCACATGTCTGGGGGAAACCAGAGCACCTGGAAGAAACCCACGCCAATACGGGGAGAACATGCAAACTTCACACAAACTGGCCCAGCCGGGGCTCAAACCAGTGACCTACTTGCTGTCAGGCGACAATGCTAACCACTGAGCCACTGTGTCGGCCCACAAATTATAAACAGAAAAACAAACTACATTTATTTTCCAGCTGATGAACTATGAAAACATTGACATGCAGTTAGAATAAATCCTGGTAAAAAAGTGAGTATTTAAACTAGTAGATGACAAAACTGAAGAGAGTGCTTATAATAAATAAACATACCACGTGTGGTGAGGATGCTAATGTAGTTATCATCATGGTTATCTTTATAATTATTATTCTTGGTATAAACAGGTCTTAAATGTGTCTCTTCAGTGAGTGTGTGTATCAGTGCTGTACCTGTAGTTGAGGCACTGTTGCCACCACATACTGTCTGTACCCGTGGTATTCAGCACAGGGGTTTCCCACCAGATAGAGCTCTTTGAGATGAAGGTTGTGCTTCAGCGTCTCCACACTGCTCAGCCTACCCACAAAATTCACTGTCAGGTCTAGTTTCTGTAAGCTCTCGCAACCTACGCACAACCAAACGTATATTAGAGTTTGTAATTACAGTCATTGTAAAAAATAAATAAACATAGACTTTCACATCACACTTTTCAAGCAAAACATTTAAAAAAGATTTTGTTAATATTTAAAATTATATAAAAATGTAACAAAACCAAATTGTGTGTTGGTATATTAGGTATAAAGGTATGTAAACTCAAATGAAAAATCACAACAAAATTGCTAAGACTTTACTTATTAAGTGAAAATAAAAAATATCAAAATTCTAAATGTTAATGAAGAGATTAATAACTCAATAATCTAAATTAACACTGATTTTACACATCTTTTAACATCTCTTACATCATAACAACATAAGCAACAAACAAAAAATTCCAAAACATTCTATTCTACTATATATATTAAAATATTTTATAGGTAGGCATTATTTTTTTTATCTAGATTAATCTTGGAAATAAACTAGATTAATCTAGATTAAAATGTGTCATTTGAATTCTGCCAAAGGCATTCAGAATATGCGTGCTACCCAAATAATAAGTCTTTGAGAACGGGTTTGTCAAGCTAGGTGGCGCATTAGACCAGGGGCTCATCTCCTGTTTCCAAAATGCATCACAAACTGTTTGAGAAACTGTTCTACTATGATAATTAGTGATGAAAATAAATGATGTTCAATAAGATGTACTTGTGTTTACTAACTGTTTATTCAGTTAAACATGAATGTTGAACTGTAGGCCTACATAAGCTTGAAACAGCGATTATTGATTACCTTAATCTGACTAAAGTCACAACTGAACCAAACAGAAATGGAATTAGGACGTGGAGTATGCAGATATTAGTGGCATTATTGAAGTAAACACCGCAATTAAACTATTACCGCCATGTAGGTATGTCGCCATATTATCCGACAAGATCCACACAAACAGTAAGGTCAGTAAAGCAGGTCGCACACCAGAAGCGCCGCTCGGCGCCACGACACGGCGCGCACATGACAGTTTGAAGTATTACACACCAGACGCGCACATTCGAATGATATTTAACATGAAACTAATCAGATGGCGCTCTGTGGCGCGGTTGAAAAATGAACTGCATCCTGAGCCGTGGCTGGGCGCCGCCGACAGCCGCCGACTTGCCGGGCCAGTGTGTGTATCCTGATAGAAACCTTTGTTTACAATTCTAAAATGCATGGCGCTGCGCACGCCACTTCTGGTGTGCGACCTGCTTAACACACGCACACACTCACAAATACACACACATCGTAGAATGCTGACATGTTTTTCTTTCCATTTGTCGTGCGTTATTAAATTCCATGACAATCTCACCATTGCTTACTCCTTACTGTATGTGCGTCTAATACTTCAGTTTGTCACGACGGCATGAATGAAACGATCATGAGTTAAAGTGAAACTGCCGAACTGCAGTTAAATAGTCAGGCATCCAGCTGATTTGATTCAGAAGGGCATTTTTTTTGTCTGACGGCTCACCGGTTAGGTACACATCTAAGATAAAATATCAAGGTGAATGTCATCATAGCTTCAGTAGAGTAGACCCAGCTCCCAACCTAACTTTGAGATTAGATTAACGGCAATATATATTTTTTTTACGTAGCATATATACTGAGATATATATATATATATATATATATATATAAGGGATTCTCCGATCGATCGACTAAAGATAATCAAATTTTATGACTCGATCGGTACTCTCCAATCTATGAACTGATCGCAGGACTTGTTTAGGAGTTTACACACAGAGGAACCAGACGTGCTAGTTGGAGAGAAAAATATTGGAATGGCTGTGCATGTGTTCAGGCCTTTTTACATATATAAAAACTGAAAGTTCTGTGTTGTTAACAATGTTGCAAGTTTACTAAAACCTGGCTAAATGTTTTATGCAAATAAAAAACATTAAAAAAAATTTTTACTTGAATATTTAAAAATATACCTTTCTGTAATATACTTACTGCAATAAACAAATAAGTATTTACAGGTTTACATTTTAACTTCTTATGCATCAAATATGTGCTCCAAACTTTTTCATCATTGAGACATGTTGAGTTCTTCTTCCATAATTTCCAATGTTTCTTATTCCGCATTGTTAATTGTTTTTCTTACCAATTTTTAAAATCTGTTTTCTCTATTATTTACTGTATTAAGGTGCGTGTGACCATGACCTGTCCACTCTAAATGGTTATAAGAGACATGTTTAAGGGATTACATGCAGCATCCTTCATTTATTCACTTAGGTAAGGAGAGAGCTCCACTTAAGTATTTTACTTAATGTGCAATATAAAGCTTGAAGCATCAGAATCGATATCGACCGATCACCATGACTTGGTATCGGCTGCAAAAATCCTGATCGGAGCATCCCTATTATATATATATATATATATATATATATATATATATATATATATATATATATATATATATATATATATATATATATATATAGTTTCATTTTTTTATAAATAAATCTGTTATGCTAAATAATGATTGGAGGATCATTTCACCCATATTATGATATTTTGTTTTTGCATTTAAAGCACTAAAGCATACACTTGCATTTAATTTATTTTTTTTACATTTAATTTGATGCAGAAACCAATCTATTTTTGACCCAGTTACACACACACACACACACACTGTATGAAGTCACCTTCCAAATTCTCAATGACCTCAATGTTGTTCAGTGCCAGATTTAAATATTCCAGCTTCTTTAGCCTGCCGACATTTTCTGCAAAAACAAAGTTACAAGAGTTTACATAAACAGCCATGCGTTTGAGTTGCTGCAATACCACAATACCACTGTCCAGTATTTACCTATTTTAGGGATGAGGTTGTTTTGTAAATAAAGGATTTTGAGGTCTCTGCACCACTTGTGGATGTGCTCGATTCTCTGGATGTCCTGCTGATGAAGGGAAAGCTCCTCAAGGGAGAAGATCTCTCCGTTATTGTGCTCTGCTCTGCGGCGGATCAGATCCTCACTGACTGAACGGAGGAAGAGGGGCGATTCGTTTACAAACAGCTTAACCGCGAAAGGTCAAATGTTTACGGGTGAGGAAAATACGATCAATGTTGTAAAATAACATTTAGCTTAAAGCAAATAATGTTTAAAATACATGAAGCACTTACTGCGGACCATGACTTGCTGGTCTAGTTTGTTAGACGTTGCTACAGAAACAGACTCACTTCAGACGCTCCTGTTGAAAATTTCAGCGGTGCAATAAACACAAGAAATATTCACTTAGAATAAATTTCATCAGGAATTACCTTAAAATCGCATCCAATGTCATGTATTCCTGGCAACTATCTGTAAAACAACTTTAACCGCTTTTAATGAAGGAAAGAGGCAAGTTTTATTGTGGTTGTTCGGTTTACATTCAAGTAGCAATCCCGCCCCTTAGCGGTCAGAGATTACAACTGCAGTCAATAGATATACAACCATAAATATATATTTACAGTTGAGGTCAGAATTATTAGCCCACCTGAATTATTAAACTCCCCGTTTATTTTTTCCCCAATTTCTGTTTAATGGAGAGAAGATTTTTTTCTGCACATTTCTAAACATAATAGTTTTAACTCTAATAACTGATTTATTTTATCTTTGTCATGATGACAGTACAGAATATTTTATAGATATTTTTCAAGACACTTCTATTGAGCTTAAAGTGACATTTAATGGCTTAACTAGGTTAATTAGTTTAACTAGGCAGGTTAGAATGATTAGGCAAGTTATTGTATAACGATGGTTTGTTCTGCAGATAGTCAGAAAAAAACATTAGCTTAAAAGGGCTAACAATTTTGTCCTTAAAATGGTGCTTAAAAAAATTAATAACTGCTTTTATTCTAGCCGAAATAAAACAAATAAGGCTTTCTCCAAAAGAAAAAAATATTATCAGACATACTGTGAAAATTTCTTTGCTCTGTTCAACATCATTTGGAAATATTTAAGATTTAAGAAAAAATTAAAAGGTGGGCTGATAACTCTGACTTCAACTGTATATATATACTTTGATTTATTATTTCACATGGCAGATCCACATTCAATTTGATTAAATTAAATAAACAGGACATTCTATATGAATTATCTTACATAATTTTAATATTGATGGTTATCTCACCTTACAACTAATGTGAAAGTAAAATCAACCAACGAATTGGTAGATCAGATGCATGTTATTTTATCATCTAGATCTTTTCAGAATTTTTTTATTTTCTTTGTTTTATTATAAGCACCTAGAGATGTAGAAGTCATGCTATATAGATTAACATCAAGTATCACAATCAAGGTTAGAAGTCTCATATTATTTGACTGATTTTAACCCTTATGTGCTGTTGGGGATGTTTTCATCTACTCTAGAGGTGATTTTAAGTCCTAATTTGGCCGTAACGTTTTCTTTTTTTCAGCTAGCAGAATGATTTTTGGTGACAAATCTTATTTTCACACATATTTTGGGTAAATGCTTTGAAAGTTTAAAAAGATAAACTCAACAATACACTCAGCAAATGTTCCCTTTCATTATGTTCGGGATGAAAACATCCACTAAATGAAGCTGCTGTAAAAATGCATCAGATAAATTTTTTTTCTATTTTTGTTTTTCATAAATATGTCAATCAATACATCTATCTTAATCAAGTTTAGGAAGTTACAGGATTTTAACTCTTTACTTGCCAAATTCATAAATGACGTCACTGATTTTGTGAAAAAAACACAAAATTACTTATTTTCAATACAAAATGTAATTATGAACTGGTACTGTTTTAACCTTTTGTCACAGTCTTAAACGTGAAAGATTTGTAACAACATTGCCTTTGATGTATTGTTAGTTTTTGTGCAGCATAATATTTTCATTTAATATTTTAAGTCCCCATTGACTTCCATTATAACCAAATTTTTTGATTGCAAAACCATGACAGCATATGATCATGCATTTTTGATTGTTGGTGTTTTTTTTCTGTTGGAAAGAGATCAAATTCGTAATTTTTACTGTTGATCATCAGTTTGCACCATTAACACTTTAGATAGGCCTTTGCAAAAAAAGATTCATTTTAGGTTTTATATGGAGTTATTTGGAGTATACCAGAAAATAACGTGTTTGTATTTGTGTCTGTGAGTGTGTGCGAGTGTGATAGTGACCTTTGCGCACTTACCTTCAAAATGTGAACATCAGCTCTCAGAACTACATAGAGTAAACAAAAACAAAGACTGTGTATTTATGCACGGTGGTAAATTTGAACAGTGCACAAGGGGTAAATTTTTTTTGAACAGGTCATTTTCTACAGCTAATTCAATAAGGATTTTTACATCACACTTCAGTCTGTTCAATGAACAAACGAAGTACAAAATGACTTGTTCAAATAATATAACTCGTGCACTGTTCAAATTTACTTGTACAAAACTAAAGCATGAAGCAATAAAATAATTTATTCAAAACACAGGAGAATCATGACTATTAGTTTAATAATCTCATTAGAAACATGATCTTTATTATGTGCTGTGATAATGCTGTGATGTTGAGAAATTTCTTGGTTATAAAATCTGTGGTCATTGCTCTGTTGTTTTCTATTGGTAATATAAAGTCAAAAAATAAATAAATGTGTAAACAATTAGTTGATTACTTTGTTTGGACGCTTACATTTCGCATTTTGCAATGTACTTTACACGCACCATAGTGAAAAAAGGGAACACATCAGGAAAAACATTTACTCACAAAATCAGACTAGTTTATATTTCGAAAAACTAGAACAAAGTCATTACCAAGACCAGGAAAAATAGGGCTGGAAACACAAACCAAACACATATTCGACAACTGAAAAACAGCAAGGGAAAACAAAATGTGTAAAACACTGAATAATGGCAGAACAAACTCAGGATTACATAATTAGAGTAAAACTACCAAACCAGTGTAATCAGGCTTTGTTGATGATCATAAACTCAGTTAACTCAGACTTTAACTATAAATGAAGGTGGGACATAAGTAGCAAACAGCCAAACAAATGCCATCAAACATAAAGACACTGCTATTGACTTTGTACTGAACGAATAGGAGGAATTTTAAAACATTTAAAGCAGCGACATCAAAGAGAAGATCCTCTTTTATGACAGCTACAAGAAATCATCTTTTTTAAGTGCAAGCGAAATCGACATTAATTTGTATAGTGTACAATGTGTATATATACAGAGACTCAAAAATCTAAGCCCATAGGTCTTAGATATTAATTTTATTTTAATTTTAAACTTACAGTTTTATATCTGTAAGTTTAAATATAATTAAACTAAACAATGGCAATTAAACCAGATTACTGCTTATGTTTAATGGGTTACGGACACAGTACTATACATTTTAATTAACTATAATAAATAATCTTCATTAAAATCACACAATTTTGATTGGCTGAATCTTGGATTGTGATCTCTAATCCAGAACTTAACCTACATGCCCTGTAGGAGGTTAGTGCAGCATAAGTTACCATGGTCTCAGAAAGCAATTAAAGCTCAGCTATCTTAATGAAACATAAACCTGAACTAAACTGGCATTACATATCTGTTTTTGTGGTACAGAAATATTAACTGTTACATAGACTGTAACATTAACTGTACACTGGTGCAGTGTTCTTGTTTCCTGCATTTTTTTACTTATTTTGATTGATCAAATTATGTATAACAGTAAGCTTTAGTTTTGTTTGAGCTTTATTTTATTTTATTTATTTATTTATTTGACATGGACATCACAATTACACTGGACAACCAAATGCATTTGTTTAAGTGTTTTAGCAAACTTGCTAACTCTTAACACCAGTCCACAGGAGGCTTAAAATTGACAAAATAGAAACATAATAAAACATACAAAACATTACAATTCTTTACATAAAATTACTGCAGGCAAAAGCAAAGGCGACATGATCCAACCAACTAACAGTAGACTATTTGTGCAAACACTGCTGTTTTGTTTTTAGCCACTTTTTAAGAGCACTACTAAAAATATTTAGATTACTTTCTGATTTTAAGCTAACCGGTAAATCATTCCACAGTTTGGCTCCCTTTACAGAGAAGACAGATTGACCAAATGAGGTCTTACACTTTGGCACTAGACAGTCACCGTTAGCAGTTGCCCGTGTAACTCTGTGGGAGGTTTGATGCCGATTGATTAGCTTAGAAAACAGGATTGGAACATGATTATTTAAACATTTAAAAAACAATTTAAGATAACTAAATTGAATAAAACTATCAAAATTAAACAGGTTATGTTTAAATAAAACATCACAATGATGCCATCGCATAGGCTTTAAGTCCATAATTTTAACTGCTTGTTTTTAGATTGAGTCAATAGGCTTCAATGTAGTTAAAAAAGCTTGTGACCAAGATGTAATGCAAAACGTCAAGTGAGAGAATATCATTGTGTGCATGTATAATTTTGCAGTGCGATATGTTAAAAACCTTCTTATAAAACGAAAACAGTTTAGACTTGGCTTAACTTTCTTACTTTAATTTTTAACATGACTATCAAATTTTAAATTAATGCCTAGAGTTAAATTTAGATACTAATAAATCGCTATTTCATTACTTTGGACTTATTAAAAAAATATAAGGATTAAATGTGTCAACTGCTGAATTATCAAGAAGCTTGAATTTCTAAAAATATTTTTTTTAAATCATATTTCGGATCATATTTATAATTCACACAATTTCAATTTTGATCCACAAGGATTGTATGAAACTAACTCAAACCCAGGGTAGAGCGGCTGAGTGAATGTGGTGTGAACTCTGTGAATGAGACTCATTGTGTCAGAGACGCTGTAGAAGGACAGAGTTCCTGCACTGTGATCCACATACACTCCTATTCTAGATGAGCTGGACACTAATGGCAGTACGGTGTGTTTTGATTTATGCACAAAAGTGCAAATGGAGCCAGAGCAGAACAAACACCAAGACTGATTACTATATCCAAACTCAGTTCCCTGTCCCTTCCAGCCTATGCTCTTATACGCCACTGATATACCGACCGAACCACTCCACTCAACTTCCCAGTAACAGCGTCCACACACACTCTCTCTACACAACACCTGATGCCAACAATCAAATCTGTCTGGATGATCAGGATACTGCTGGACTGTAGAACTGAGTTCAATCACTCTGTTCCCTTTAGACAGCACCAGATTTTTATTCATTGTGTTTAGATCCAAGAAGAGCCAACAGGTATCTGATGAAAACAACGCAATGTTAAATATTCACAACGTTTCACTGTTATCAAATGTTTTCATCAAAAAATTTTACTAATCAGATAAATAACATCCAGTAAGAAAACATCTAGTAAGATCAAATAGTTGTCATGTATTTTTTCTGTAAAAACGTTAACTGTACATAATAAATTTGCATGCATTGTTTTAATACTGATCTTTAAATATTAAAGACTAAAAGTGTTACATATATATTCAGTCTGATTTAATGAGAACTAAAGTCTGTCTCTTTATGTTTACTGTACATACATGTTTATAGAAACTTACATTGAAGGAACTCCTGATGAGTCTTTGGTTCAGGAGTGGGAGTGGTGCCTTTATAGTCTCTCACTATGCAAACCAACAAATAGTTTTTTAGTAAAAACTGTAATTATGAAATTTTGGTGGGAATTATTGAAATATGCTTCGTCCTCATACATAATGAATATCAGTAATAAAAACTCACTTCTCCAAGTTATCTTTTCTATCTCCTCTCTGCAGAAATGCTCCAGTTTCTCTCTCAGTCGAGACACAGATTTACCAACATCATCAAAAGAGAGAGAAGAGCTGACAGTGATGCTGGATGAGTCTGTAGATCCAGGAGGAGTAGAGAGAGACTGGAAACTCTACACAGACACAACACAAACAGCAGCTAAAGACACACACACATCTGACAGAAACACAATCTCTGCACAACATGCTCTTCCACTGTGCTGTTTGTCAGATCTGTGTTACCTGGAGGAAATGGATGTGATGGTCTGTGTGTGAAAGCTGCTCCAGCTCAGCGTCTCTCCTCCTCAGATCATCAATCTCCTGCTCCAGTCGCTCCAGTCGTCCTTCAGCTTCACTTACTGCAGCCTTTTCCTGATCTCTGATCAGCTGCGTCACCTCAGAGCGGCTTCTCTCAATGGAGCGGATGAGGTCAGTAAAGATCCTCTCAGTGTCTTCCACTGCTGCCTGTGCAGAGCACTGTTAGGACACACAGAGAGAGAAGCAGCAGAATCAGTCATTCACTCAGCTCTTACTGCTGCCTCACACAGCCTTTTCCCCACAGGGGCTTCAGTGGGACTCAAAGTGCTCCAGCACTGGGCTCCTCACTGACAGACTGCAGGACAGTCCTGAATCTCATATAGCTCTTCCAGCAGTCAGCAGTTGATCTTCTGCTAAAACTCACCTTGTGAGACTCTACAGCTGCTCTCAGCTCCTCAAACTCCACCTGTTTCCTCTGGATTCTTTGATGGAGTTTACTCTGGGTTTCCTCCAACTGCCTCTATAGGATTTATAATATTACATGCAACATATTAATAAACTTATTACACTTGAGAATTCAACAAAGAATGTTTCCAAAGAATAGCAAATAGTTCATACATGTTTGTCAGTCCTTTCTGCTGCAGCTGATACAGTGTTGTGGTTTTTGTGTCCATCCATTGTACACAGATAACATATACAGCACTGATCAGTACGACAGAAAACCTCCAGTAGTTTGTCATGTTGAGGGCAGATCATCTCCTGCAGTCGTCCAGTGGCGTCCATGAGATTGTGTTTTTTACTTCTGAAGAAACTCGCGTGTTGCTCAAGATGATTTTGGCAGTAAGAGTTCAGACACATCAGACAGGATTTGACGGCTTTGTTTTTGTCTCCAGTACAAACATCACACTCCACATCTGCAGACTCAGAGTAACACTGAGCAGGACGAGCAGCTTGTAGTTTGGTCTTCTTGAGTTTCCCCACCACTTCAGCCAGCATGGTGTTTTTCCCTAAAGCAGGTCTTGGAGTGAAGGTCTGTCTGCACTGAGGGCAGCTGTAGACTCCCCTCTGCTCATCCTGATCCCAGCAGTCTGAAATACAGCTCATGCAGTAACTGTGACCACAGGGAATGGCCACTGGATCCTTCAGTAGATCCAGACAGATTGAACAGCTAAACTGATCCTGAGCCACTGAAATACTACATTCTGCCATTTTACAGCACAAACTCACAGACAGAAGAGAATACTCAACACTTCGACAACAGCTTAAGTTTCAATTTTTCTGAGAAGAATCACTTCCTGTTTGTGAAAAACGAATCAGCCAGTCATATATAAAACACCACTAGATGACAGTGTTGTACAGAAGATATTCATTATTAGAGACAATCTTAAAATCTGTGATGTTTATTTAGTCTTTTTTTCGTCACTTAACACCTTATTTTAATACTTTTGTGTGCGAAGTGTTGACAATAAATTGTATTTAAAGACAATCATGGGGAAAAATACTTTAAATTTAAAATATGAATAAATAATAACTGAATAGAGAGTCGTGTTTTGACAGTGATGTTTATTTAGAAGCTGAACTCGGGGTTACACTTTTGTCTGTGGTAAAACAGAATTCATCAGGAGAGAAACAAACTCACAATGTGAAAATACACAAAATACAGAGGACTATATTCTTACTGAGGCTGATAAAGTAAAATACAAATTCTACAGAAATACATTTATCTTGCAGTACTACTAAGGATTCTTCTGGCATTTTATATTGGTCAATAATATAAACTAATGATCTATTTTTTTTGCCTTAATAAATGACAATATATGTGTCTTTCAAAACTGATGCAATAATAGCAAATTTTCAGTACAAATAAATCTGTTCCAATAGATCAAAAATTAATACAATAATATAAATGCAAGATCACAATGGCTGTGATATAAAAGCACTGAGAGAATAATTATATATTTCTGCTATTCTTTTAAGATTAAAGTTTAATTTTTTTATCAGAGCACATATAAACAAGAACATGCCTGTGTGAAATCTAGAAACATGCAGTGAGAGTCAGCAGGATATGATTCTGTTCAAAGTGACAAAAGCACAACGTTCATCATTTGACATTTCATATCTTTGCTGGCATTTCTGTTTCTTAATTTGGTGGAGAATTTAGTCTTGATTTATTGATAATAAAACAAAAATGTTTCACAGTTACTGATTTATCACCATCTACATCTTCACATCACTTAGTTTTATTTTTGGCTTGCTTTTTGATAATAGAAAATATAAAGAATTGATCCTAAACCCAGGGTAGAGTGGCTGAGTGAATGTGGTGTGAATGCTGTGAATGAGGTTCATTGTGTCAGAGATGCTGTAGAAGGAAAGAGTTCCTGCACTGTGATCCACATACACTCCTATTCTAGATGAGATGGACATTACTGGCAGTTTGGTGTGTTTGTTATTGTGCCAAAATGAACAACTGGAGTCAGAGCAGGACAAACTCCAGGACTGATCATTACGTCCAATTACACACTCAGTTCCCTCTCCTTTCCTGTTGATGCTCTTATACGCCACTGATATGGACACTCCTCTGCCGCTCCACTCCACCTCCCAGTAACAGCGTCCACACACACTCTCTCTACACAACACCTGAAGCCAACAATCAAACCTGTCTGGATGATCAGGATACTGATTGTCTTTAGAAGTGTATTCAAACACTCTGTTCCCTTCAGACAGCAACAGGTAATTATTCACTGTGTTTGGATCCAAAGTAAGCGGACCGTAATCTGATGAAGACAAAACACATGACTTTTGTTTACAAAAATAAAAATCCACATTTATTTATTTCTTTTACAGTTTGTCATCTCTGGGTTTGATTATCAATGCATATGAATAAGCTAAATTTAATCATTAACATGGGCACATAGAGTAAAACAAGAGAACGAGAACACAAATAGGACATATGCTTAGTCATTTGTAAAGAGATAAATAGATAGATAGATAGATAGATAGATAGATAGATAGATAGATAGATAGATAGATATAGATAGATAGATAGATAGATAGATAGATAGATAGATAGATACATAGATAGATAGATAGAAATTAATTGCCAGTTCATATAATAATTATATGAATATGTAACAAAGTATAAATACTCATAACTGTTATAATACAAATACAACACATATAGCGGCAATATACAGCCAATTTTGTCTTAAAAATTAATTCTATGAGTTTATAAAAATGTAATTTGGCAACAAAAGAAGCTTTACTGGATCATATTTGTGCCACTTTTTATTCAGTTGATCAGTCTGTGTTAGTTTGTGATCTCTAACCCTAGAATAAAACTCTCTCCAGAAAGAGCAGGTTAGCTTTAGTGTAAATTACCATTAAACTTATTTTCTTGAGAACTTGCCTAAGTAAAATCTAAACTTCATGCAACAGGTCTCTGAGCAGAACAACACCAACATAAGCCAGTTATCATTTGATTATTCATGAGTAGTTATAGTTTATTTCCTTCAATTCACAGGTGTTTCAGTAGTGAATCTTTTGAATATTAACTATGACATGAACATGAATGTTCAGCACAGTTCAGTCTGATCTATAATATGTTTTGATGTGTGATAAGGACTAAAGTCTATCTCTGTATGCACAGTATGATGATCTTATTAGAGACTTACACTGGAGGAAGTCCTCACGGGTCTTTGGTTCAGGTTTGGATATCCTGGTTATCTCTCTCACTGTGGAAATCAAAAGAAACTTGTTAGTAAATATTACACAATTATGCAGAATGCACTGTAGCTGTAATTATAAATCATAATAAAATAATTGATATTTTATTTAAATATATGATGCATCCAAAATCGCATAATTCCATACTATATAGTATGTGAAAAAGTTTGCAAGCTGAGTAGTAAGTCTGAATTTATAGTACTGAAAAAAATGAAGCACCCAGATGACCTACTACTTCAGGTGAGGCTCTGAAGAGCACATCCGATGGACACTGTACTATCCCATTAAGCCATGAGAGAAAATATTAATGAGAGTGAAGCGTCATAACTGATGTGGTCATGTGATGATGACAAATGGCAGATGTAGTACATCTGAATTCACTTGATAATACTCAAATTCATACCATATTGAACAACCTTTTCTAATTGTTGTGAAATCAATTCAAATTCAAATGTAGTACCAACTATAGTGATTTTGGACACAGCTATAATTATTTCTGTGTTACAGTACATGACACATATATAAATATAAAGCTTACCTTTACCAGATATCTTTTTTATCTCCTCTCTGCAGAAATGCTCCAGTTTCTCTCTCAGACGAGACACAGATTTACCAACATCATCAAAAGAGAGAGGAGAGCTGACAGTGATGCTGGATGAGTCTGTGGATCCAGGAGGAGTAGAGAGAGACTGGAAACTCTACACAGACACAACACAAACAGCAGCTAAAGACACACACACACACATCTGACAGAAACACAATCTCTGCACAACATGCTCTTCCACTGTGCTGTTTGTCAGATCTGTGTTACCTGTAGGAAATGGATGTGATGGTCTGTGTGTGAAAGCTGCTCCAGCTCAGCGTCTCTCCTCCTCAGATCATCAATCTCCTGCTTCAGTCGCTCCAGTCGTCCTTCAGCCCCACTCACTGCAGCCTTTTCCTGATCTCTGATCAACTGCATCACCTCAGAGCGGCTCTTCTCAATGGAGCAGATGAGCTCAGTAAAGATCCTCTCAGTGTCCTCCACTACTGCCTGTGCAGAGCGCTGTTAGGACACACCGAGAGAGAAGCAGCAGAATCAGTCATTCACTCAGCTCTTACTGCTGCCTCATAGCCTGTTCCCCACAGGGGCTTCAGTGGGACTCAAAGTGCTCCAGCACTGGGCTCCAGGGGCGCAGCTAGGGGGCAGAGAAGTTAGGACGTTTCTAAGGACCCATGCCATTTTGGGGCCCCCAGAGTTACTAATACACCACCAGAGTTACTATTACACCACTCCTAAACCCCCACCCACCCCAACCAAGCCCCACCGATCCCTAACTCCCAGCACCGATACTCGTGACTCAAAATTCTCCCCACCATCCACTCTTCCCTTTCCTTCCCATAGTGGGATCCTCACTGACTGACTTCAGGACAGTCCTAACTGAGTCTCAAACAGCTCTTCCAGCAGTCAGCAGTTGATCATCTGCTAAAACTCACCTTGTGAGACTCTACAGCTGCTCTCAGCTCCTCACACTCCTTCAGTTTCCTCTGGATTCTCTGATGGAGTTTACTCTGGGTTTCCTCCAACTGCCTCTATAGGATTTATAATATTGCAGGCAACATATTAATAAACTTATTACACTTGAGAATTCAACAGAGTGGTTTTAAATAGCAAATAGTTTATACCTGTTTGTCAGTCCTTTCTGCTGCAGCTGATACAGTGTCGTGGCTTTTGTGTTTATCCATTGTACACAGATAACAAATACAGCACTGATCAGTACGACAGAAAATCTCCAGTAGTTTGTCATGTTGAGAGCAGATCATCTCCTGCAGTCGTCCAGTGGCGTCCATCAGATTGTGTTTTTTACCTCTGAAGAAACTCTCGTGTTGTTCAAGATGATTTTGGCAGTAAGAGTTCAGACACACCAGACAGGATTTGATAGCTTTGTTTTTGTCTCCAGTACAAACATCACATTCCACATCTGCAGATTCAGAGTAACACTGAGCAGGACGAGCAGCTTGTAGTTTGGTCTTCTTGAGTTTCTCCACCACTTCAGCCAGCATGGTGTTTTTCCCTAAAGCAGGTCTTGGAGTGAAGGTCTGTCTGCACTGAGGGCAGCTGTAGACTCCCTTCTGCTCATCCTGATCCCAGCAGTCTAAAATACAGCTCATACAGTAACTGTGTCCACAGGGAATAGTTACTGGACCCTTCAGTAGATCCAGACAGATTGAACAGCTGAACTGATCCTGAGCCACTGAAATACTGGATTCTGCCATTTTACAGCACAAACTCACAGACAGAAGAGAATACTCAACATTTCGACAACAGCTTAAGTTTCGATTTTTCTTAGAGGAATCACTTCCTGTTTGTGAAAAACGAATCAGCCAGTCATATAAAAAACACCACTAGATGACAGTGTTGTACAGAAGATATTCATTATTAGAGACTATCTTAAAATCTGTGCTTATTTGCCCTGTTATTTACTTTATCACTAGTTAGCACCTTATTTTAATACTTTTGTGTGTGTGATACTTTGACAATAAATGGGAAAAAATACTTTAAATTAAAAACAAAACAAAACAAATAAATAATAATAACTGAACTGAGAGTTGTGTTCTGTCAGTGATGTTTATTGAGGAACTGCACTCAATGTTACACTTTTGTCTGTGGTAAAACAGAATTCATCAGGAGAAACACAAACTCACAATGTGAAAATACACAAAATACACAGGACTATGGTACTACATAAATACTACAACCTTAAATCAGAATAAGTTGGGACAGTATGTAAAACGCAAAATAAAAAAGTAGTGAATTGACTTTGACTTGTATTTCATTGCAGACAATATGAACACAAAATATTTCATGTTTTGTCTGGTCAACTTAATTTCATTTGTAAATCTTTTCCTGTCATTCCGACACACCAAAAAAAGCTGGGACAGGAGCAGTTTAGGGCTAGTAATCAAGTAAATTGGTTAAATAATGAGTTCAACAGGTCAACAAGTGGTTGTATGATTTGGTACAAAATAGAGCCCAGAGACTTACACTGGAGGAACTCTTCACTATGGAAATCAACAGATACTTGATATTATTAGTTCATTTTCTTTTCGGCTTAGTTCCTTTATTAACTCACGGACAATTTAGCTTACCCAATTCACCTGTACCGAAGAGCTTAATCGTAAATGCTGATGGACTTGAAAGAGTTTAATCTATTCAGAAACATAATGGATATGAAAATGTTATTGCAGTGCTTTGCAACTCCAGTTAACTGCCGAGAGAACAGTCTAGCTGTATCCTGATCAGACAGTTTAGATAGCTGGCTCCAGACATTAAAAAAGTGTGTGTGGATAGTCTTACTGGAAGGCTGAGTTAAGTGGTGTCTGAATCATCTGAAATGATTAGATATTTGCTAAATACACTCAACATAAAAAAGTACTACAGAAATAATTATTTAACTGTAAACATTCCCTTACCAGATATTAACTCATAAAGATAGAAAATCTGTGTTCTGTTCAACACAAAAGACAATATTTTGAATAAAGCCTGAAACCTGTCACTATTGACATATGTAGTTTTTTTTTCTACTATGGAAGTCAGTGGTTACAGGTTTCCAGTTTTCTTTAAAATAACTTCTCTTGTGTTCAACAAAAAAGCTTTCTACTTTACCAGCTAGACTGCACTACTCAAAATCTAAAATTACACAGAATTTCTTTCTACCATTTGCCCTACAAGTGACCGGTGTAAGTCTGCTGAAGGCTTCCTGAACCATCTCTTTTGGATGAGTCCAAAATTTTATGATTTCTAGTGTGACATATTTAATTGGTTTTCTAATATGCATGGTGTTACCTTCACACCCCACCCAGAAATTGTTATATTTGGGTACTCTCATTTAGTGATTGATTATAATGTGTCCATACAAAGCACCATCACTTCTAGAATGATTAAGAGTGTTATTCTAAAACTGTGGAAATCAAATTCTATTCCTTGATTTAAGACATGGTTAACTACTCACTCAAAATGTTTTTTTTTTTTTTTTTTTTTAAACTGCTTTTATTCCTGCCGAAATAAAACAAATAAGACTTTCTCCAGAAGAAAAAAATATTATCAGACATACTGTGAAAATGTCCTTGCTCTATTCAACATTATTTGGGAAATATTTTAAAAAGAAAAAGAAATTCAAAGGGGGGCTAATAATTCTGACTTCAACTGAATACGCAATAAAGAAAATAAAAACACAAAGAAGCAGTCAATAGGTAGTGAGCATTTTAAGCATTACACTGCTGCTCAGAATCTGCGTTATATTGGTCCAGGTGATCAAGAAATGGTTGCCATATTGTAAAACTTAGCAAAATCATCAATAACTCCATAACAGACTCCTTCCATGTGCAATATTTAAGGTAAATATTATTAGCGCCTTTAATCTATTTTTTTCGATAGTCTGCAGAACAAAAAACTTGCCTAATTACCCTAACTTGCCTAGTTAACCTAATTAACCTAGTTAAGCCTTTAAATGTCACTTTAAGCTGTATAAGTGCCTTGAAAAATATCTAGTCTAATATTATTTACTGTCATCATGGCAAAGATAAAACAAATCAGTTATTAGAAATGAGTTATTATGTTTAGTAATGTGCTTTAAAAAAATCTTCTCTCCGTTAAACAGAAATTGGGGAAAAATAAACGGGGGCCTAATAATTCAGGAGGGCCTTCAACTGTATATATATTTAAGTGTTTTTAGTAATAACTTTATTTATTTTTTGCCTTTATTAAATTAAACAAAAATGAATAAACAAGACACATCATGCAAAAAGAAGGGAAGAAATTGAATGGGAACAACCTAAACTGTGGCTAGCTGTAACATGCTTGGTTTAAAAGTTATTATGTTTTACAAAAAACAAGAAAGGGTTTTAAAACATTGGAGGAGATCTTGCAAAGCAAGAGACCGCATCTCGTTGGTTATCTCACTTACTTATTGCTAACGTTTTGCACATATACACATAAGAAAATCCTATGCAAACCGAATGATTTAAATACCTGGAGATGAGCAAAGGGTCTCTGCTGTACAAGCCTTGCTACCCAACCATCATCCCCTGCAGGTAAGAAGAGTATTGCAGATTATGTTTTTTAATGCTTTAGCAATGTGTCTATAATTGTATGAGTTAGATTCAGAATGGCTTGCTCTACTCAGCTTTTTTATTGTTTGTTAAAATTATTAATTACCATTTTATATTATAACTACAGTTGTATAACAGTGTGGAAGAACAATCCAGTTTCAGAGGTCTCAGAAAGGTATGTATTCGGTGCCCTGCTGTGCTGTAGGCTAATCTTTTTTTTAAATCACTAAAAAAGTAGTGTGAATCAGAATGTCTGTAATGTTTCATACCTTTGGTTTGTGCTTATAGCTATGCATGATGTGCTGTAAATTTCTAATCTGGCATACAGTCAAAATTATTAGCCTTTGAAATTCTTTTCTCTTTAAAATAATTCTGAAACAATGTTTAACAAATCAAGGACTTTTTCACAGTATTTCCTATAATATTTTTTATATATTTATAATATATATAATTTTTTTAAATTTATATAATATTTATTTTGTTTTATTTCGGCTAGAATAAAAAGCAGTTTTTAACTTTTTAAAAGCCATTTTAAGGTCAATATTATTTTAGGGGCCTACCCTTTAGCAATATTTTTTTTTGTCTACAAACCATTTATACATGACTTGCATAATTACCCTAACATGCTTAATTAACCTAGTTTAGCCTTTAAATTGCACTTTAAGCTGATCTAGAAAAATATCTAGTAAAATATTATGTACTTTTAGTAAATACTAAAGAAATCAGTTATTAGAGATTAGTTATTAAATCTATTATGTTTATAAATGTGTAAAAAAAAAAAAACAGAAAACGTTAAACAGAAATTAGGGGGAAATTATACAGGGGGGCTATTAATTCAGGAGGGCTAATAATTCTGACTTTAACTGAATGTCTTCTAACTGAATTTCTTTTTTCAAAGGAGCCTGTAGAAGATAATGAGTCTAAGCAAGAAGTGTTCTTTGATCACCTTATTTTTCCATCTCTGCTTCTCTTTGCTGGTAGTTAATGTTCAAACTGCCCATCAAACAAACACAGTAAGGCATAATACAATTCGGTCACACTTTATTTTGATTGTCCATTTGTTGAATGTAAGTTACATTGCATCTACATGCCAACTAAATCTCATTAGATTATAAGTTGACTATTAGGTTGAAGTTAATGTAAGCTGACATGTACTTGCAAAGTTTCATATAGTCAGTTAAATTTCTGTTTAGCAGAAGTATCAACAGATATTAAGCAGACAGTCTTACGCAAAATAAAGCGTTAACTATAATTCTCAGACGAATAAACTCATATTATTAGTATAAGTGAATTACCTCATATAAGTGAATTTTCCCACATATATTTTTTGTTCACAGCCTGAATTTGGAGATATTCTTGTATTTCCCACATCAACCTGTGGAGTAGCTTTTGCTAGTCACTACGCTATATATGTTGATGACGTGACAATGCCTGATAAAAAAGACGGAGAGAACCTTTTTCACATGACAAGTAATAAAATCAAAACAAAACTATATTATGCACTATTATTTAAACAGCCATAGCCACTTTTCCTGCATTAATAACTGCAAAATGCATATTCTCCCCCATACACAGAAAACCTTGACGGCACATCTGGCTGTGGATTTGGAACTACACACAGAGTAACATTCACAGTGGACAATTACTTGGATGACCACCGCCAGCAGGTCAATGATCAGCAAACCATCATCAATACTATTAATGAGCTGAATAGAAACTGTGGAACATGGTCTTGGTCAAACACCTGTGAACATGTTGCCACACATATACGATATGGCGCAGCTTCTAAACAGTGCAATCAGGTAAGTTATAAAGAATGTATGATCTTTACAATGGGTTGTTATCAGACATTAAGTTAATCTCTCTCTGTAGGCCATAAGGGAGCTGGTTAGGTTAAAGGCATAACTATAGATGTAGCTTTTTAAGGGGGATTATAATTGATGAATGAATGTATGAATAAAAGAAATGATCAGAATATTTATTGGTATATGTTTTGTTCTAATACTACTATTCATGTTTTTTAGCATGGCACCCTGTTTGGAAGTTTAGTATGTCAAGTAATACTTCCCATCGTGAATGGAAAAAAAAGAAAGCGCTCCTTGAAAGGAAGCAAATTCATGTATCAGCATGCACCTGCAGCTTGAAGATGTTGTTGTTGGTGTAGCAGCTTAACATTTTTTGTAACATTTTATTGTTTCTTCTTCTTAAAGATATTAAACCTAAGAGCAAGCAATGAATGTGAAGTTTGTCTCATTAATTGGTGATGTGCTTAAACTTAAATTACATTTATATTTGTAACACCTGATCACAAAACTTATTTAAGTTTAAAAAAACAATTAACTGAGATTTAAAGCTGAATAAATGAGTTTTGCATTGATGGATGTATTGTTGGAATAAGACAATTTTTGCCTGGAATCTGAAATCTAAGATAAGTAAATCCAATAAAAAGCTAATTAAACCAATAAAGTTGATGAAAACGCACAGTAATGCACATTACTTATGAAAATTTGCACTTTTATTTATAGAAACTTTACAAAAAATGTTGGCATAAAATACATTTTGACCCATGCAATATATTTCGGCTATTGCTAAAAATAAACACGTGCAACATAAACAAAATCAATAATCCACATTTACACAACTGTTTCATATATAATTTAGGACTATAAGCAGGGATGGGCAGTATTTATGATACAAGTATTTAAAATACATATTTCAAATACAAAATAGTATATTCTAATTTGTATTTGATGGGGTTTATGAAAATGGCCTAATATTTTGTATCAAAATACTTTAGTGTCTTGTATTTTTTTGTTTAAAATGCTGTAAAATACTTTATAAAAAGTCCACATGATGACATCGTAAAAAATGTGGCCTTCGATTGCTGCTTTCTCAGTTATTTGCCTAAGCTTAAGAGCAGACCAGAAAATTTACTAATATTAAAGAAGGGAGTCAAAATGGATGGAAATTATGCAACACAAATAAATAAATAAATAACAGACAAATTATAGCAGTATTTTTGGGAGCAAGTCCACAATCATTGAAAATAATATACTGTACAATGCTAAGACCAGCAATATATAATGGCAGTATAGTGTACAATTCATCAGCATCTTTGCCTAGGAAATGGGATGGAATAAAATAGCCAAAAGCAGGAATATGGAGCCCACAGCACAATCCTTATCAGTCTCAGTGTTGCAAGTGGAAATGCAAAGGAAGTTCAAAAATAAAACAAAACACTTGGCAGATAAAGCCTCCCACAGCTGCGGAGGACAAGCCCCATCGGGCTGAGATTGGTAACTGTCGACCGTGCCACGCAGCCAGCCACACAGCCAGCCGCCTGGGACAAGCAGGGCATGGAGCCCAGGGCCTTACGGGCCCAAGAGCAGACCATATATGCATTCCCAGTTCAAACCCATGCTCATTTGGCCCATAATAATTCTATGCAGGACCCATATGTGCATTCCCAATTCAAACCCATGCCCACCTGGCCCATAAATATGCCATGCAGGATTCATATATGTGTTCCCAGATCAAACCCATGCCTGTCCCTTATGGGGCCCATGTAATCAGCTCAAATGGGCTTCTTTTGTGGGACTCATACTACAAAACCTACATGGGACCTGCTGATTTCACCCAGCCAAAGCCCATGCCCACACAGTTAGCATGGAACCCGTAGTTAACCCGTCTGGGCCCCACATGTCATTGCTGGCTGGGTCCCTTATACAAATGTACATTAAGAGAACGAAAGACTACAGAATGAGAACTTGTTATGGCATCTAAAAAATGCTTTGTTGAATGTGGAATCTACAAAATTTTGCCATTGCCATTTTCTGGCACAGTGGCTCAGTGGTTAGCACTGTCGCCTCATAGCAAAAAGATTGCTGATTCAATTGCCGGCTGGGCTGGGCCAGTTGGCTTTTCTGTGTGGAGTTTGCATGTTCTCCTAGTGTTTGTATGGGCTTCCTCTGGGTGCTCCCACAGTCCAAAGACATGTGGTATAGGTGAATTGGATAAACTAAATTGACCACAGTGTACGAGTGTGTGTGCTTTAATGTGAGAGTACACTGGTGTTTCCCAGTACTGGGTTGCAGCTGGAAGGGCATCTGCTGCATAAAACATATGCTGAAATAGTTGGTGGTTTATTCCGCTGTGGCAACCCCTGATAAAATAAGGGACTAAGCCGAAGAAAACTTAATGAATGAAGTAGTAAACACTTGCTGTATCATCAATTGCCATTTTCACCGCCAGTTTTTTCTGATTTCTTAAGTGAAAGCAACAGACACTAGACATCAAGTGAAATTGAAAGTACAACCTGTCACAGCCAGGCCAGGTTCTTCCCACTCCCAATCACAAGATTCACCCTGTGCAGTGTTCACAGTCATTCCAATCAGCAAGGTCCCTGCCATCCGAATACTAATCATCACCAGCGTACCTGCTGTACGTCATTCTCCTCTCATCACCTCACAACTTACTTGCATGCCGCTTCGCTCAGGGTCCGGCCCATCGAGAGGGACAAACTCTCACGGTCAGGCATACCAAGTATGATTCTATTACTTACCTCATCTGCTCCAGTGTACCTATTGTCTTCGTCTCTCCACCTATGCGGTTCCCTCCTGGTTGTGCGTTTCCTGAAATCATGTGTTTATTGTCACTCTCAGTCCATTTCATCCTGGTCCACTGCTCATCATCTACAAGAGAAAAGACTTAACATGTTTGCCACATATCCTGTTATTCATCAGTCTGCAATAAACGGTTACATTTACTCCTTTCTGGTCTCAGTCCAATTTCTGTGACACGACCTGACTGTGTTTGTGTATGATGGAGAGATACTTTGAGTAATTGAATTGCAAGTGCTCACACTACAAATAGAAGAACAAATCGGGACTGTTTCTGAACATTTGAGTAATTTCCTTTTTATTTTTTATACTCCTCTGCTCTGATGGTAAATCATCTTGCACTTCATTCAAGACAAGTTATTTAGTTGTATAGAACTGTTCTCAGTGCATCAATCTTTTCGAAGCAGTTTTACTATAAGTTGTATAATTAGTTGACACTGGAATATACATGGAATATTGCTATTCTTGAGATGAATAAGTAGTACTACTACTAATAATAAAATTAAATATAAAGAGGAATGGGCCAGTGCACTTTTAATCGTCCTTATATGATTCAAGTCACTTTCTTTAGTTACTTTTAAAGACAAAATAAAATATTTCTTTATAATATTGCTGGTTTGGGTTGCATTAATGAGAGTCTGAAAACAGCAAGATGTTTTTTTTTTGTCTTAATTAAAGATTGGTGGAAACATTGACTTACTTGAACTGATTCTGACTCTTGGTTTTACTGCTTTATTCTAAATAGGAATTGTTAGACACAGTTATGAAGCCTTTATTAAGTCAAGTGTCTCTCTCACTACATGAAAATGTCACATTTACATGAGAAGTTAAAGTTATAATTACATTTGTTTCATGGTCCAGCAGCTTTAAAAAGACTAAAGAAATCACCCAAAGTTCAACTTCAAGTGAAGAATTAGAGATGTGACAGATGTCTGGCTGCCGAAAGAAGCAGTCTGTGTTTAATGTGACACTGATAAAGTCTAGAGACATTTTACTGTGGTAATTATAAAGAGGTGAGATAAAGTCCCTTCGACAAACTCTCAAACCCTATGCCACACTTTTTTTTAGTTTTACAGAAATCAAACAAACAGATACTGTATTAACTAATAAAGTAGTCACTTATGAAATGTAGCAAATTTAATTTCTCAGCTGCACAGCTTCAAAACTTATCTCTCAACAAAGATTACACAAATACAATATTCTGTTCATATTATGATACATGTTTATCATTAAATTATTTTTGTGTTATATTTATTTACACCTTCTGTTCATAATTTGTGTTTTTGTGCTTTGCTGATAGTAGAATTAAAGACATTCATGGCAATAAAGTACATTCAATTAAAAATAAATAAACAAATAATGCAGTTGACTTGAGAGTCGTGTTCTGTCAGTGATGTTTATTGAGGAACTGAACTCAATGTTGCACTTTTTTCTGTGGTAAAACAGGATTCATAAGGAGAAAAACAAACTCACAATGTGAAAATACACAAAATACACAGGACTATATTCTTACTGAAGCTGATCAAGAAAATATGAGTTGCTGTAGAAATTAGAGCATTTGTCCAGCCATTGTATATTGGTCAACAAAGTCAATTAACAAACTCTTATTTGCTTATAAAATGTCTTCAGATCTTCAGATCAGATCAGATCTTCAGATCACTCAGTTTTATTTTTTGCTTGGTTTCTGAAAACAGTGAATATAATGAATCAATCCCAAACCCAGGGTAGAGTGGCTGAGTGAATGTGGTGTGGACTCTGTGAATGAGGCTCATTGTGTTAGAGATGCTGTAGAAGGACAGAGTACCTGCACTGTGATCCACATACACTCCTATTCTAGACGAGTTGGACATTACTGGCAGTTTGGTCTGTTTTTTATTGTGGCAGAATGAACATCTTGATCTAGAGCAGGACAAACCCCAGGACTGATCATTACGTCCAAACCCGCACTCATCTCCCAGTCCCTTCCTGCTGATGCTTTTATAAGCCACTAATATTTCCACATCACCACTCCACTCCACCTCCCAGTAACAGCGTCCATACACATTCTCTCTACACAACACCTGAAGAAAACAATCAAATCTGTCTGGATGATCAGGATACTGCTGGTTTGTAGAAGTGTGTTCAAACACTCTGTTCCCTTCAGACAGCACCAGGCAATTATTCACTGTGTTTGGATCCAAAGTGAGCGGACGGTAATCTGATAAAGATAAAACACATGACTTCTGTTTAGAAAAATAAATATACACATTTATAGTTATATTAAGATATTTTAGGATAAATTATTTCAGCATCTTCCCCTTGTCAACATTACAGCATCATCAAATTAGTGTGTGTGTGTGTGGATGGGGGGGGGGGGGGGGGGGGTATATAGCTGCTATATGTGTATATATATATATATATATATATATATATATATATATATATATATATATATATATATATATATATATATATATTATATGTAATTTATATATAATAATATAAATTAGAAATATAAATATAATTTATATTATAGCTTTTTTATAATTTTTTTCTATTTATTTATTTATTCATTATTTTGTTAGTATTATTAAAGTGTTTTTACCACGATGTGTAATAAGGACTAAAGTCTGTCTCTGCATATACAGTATGATGATCATAGAGACTTACATTGGAGGAAGTCCTCACGGGTCTTTAGTTCAGGTTTTTGAATGCTGGTTATGCCTCTCACTATGGAAATCAACAGATACTTGATAATAAATATTGCACAATTATATAACATACACTTTAACAGTAATTACAAAAATACAAAAACATATTTTAAAAACCATTTATATTTGATGTGTCTGAAATTGTATACTTGTTCTAATAAAAAGTATGTGAAAAACAGTATGTGAGCTCAAGAGTATGTCCAAATTCTTTCATTCATTCATTCATTTATTTTCTTTTCGGCTTAGTCCCTTTAATAATCTAGGGTCACCACAGCGGAATGAACCGCCAACTTATCCAGCATATGTTTCACGCAGCGGATGCCCTTCCAGCTGCAACCCATCACTGGGAAACATCTATAAACACTCATTCACACAGAAACACTACGGACAATTTTAGCTTACCCAATTCACCTGTACCGCATGTCTTTGGGCTTGTGGGGGAAACAGGAGCACCCGGAGAAAACCCATGCGAACATGGGGAGAACATACAAACTCCACACAAAAATGCCAATTGACCGAGCTGAGGTTCGAATCAGCGACCTTCTTGCTGTGAGGCGACAGCACTACCTACTGCGCCACCGTGTCGCCTGTCCAAATTTATAGAAATAGAAAAAAGTAGGCAAGAAGGACCCAGATGACCTGCAGTACTACTTCAGGTGAGATTCTGAAGAGCACATCCAAATGACATTATACTCTCCCATATAGTCATAGGAGAAAGTATAATTAGGAGTGAAGTGAATTGGTGGCGGTAATGTGATAAATGGCAGATGTAGTACATCTGAATTAAATTCATAATGCTATATAGAACGCATCCATTATTGACATGAAAGAGGGAGTGGACACATTATGTTGAACAATCAATAATGAACAACCAGATGACCAATAACTCTGAAGAGTAAAGCCGCGGTTATACTGGACTTTTCTCCCAATAGACTTCCAGTCATACGCATGCGGTTGCGGCAGACCGGAAAAGCAAGCTCATGCGACAAGTTTCGCAGTTCGCTGCTTTGCAAAATTCAAGCTTAGTGAACTCTGACCTGCGAAATCACATCATGTAATTGCATGAGACCAATCGTAAATCAAAACATGATCTCTCTGGTCTATAATTTAAAATATGGAGCAATCGCTGACTATTTAAAATGTCTAATCATCTTGTTTAATCCCGCCCCTATTCGCAGTGCTGTACGACAGAATTTCGCATGATCAAACTCTAGTGTGATGGCATTAACCACTGAGGAGCCAAACACTAGCATTTGGCTGGTGATCAGGGCCGGAGCAAGCTGAACTGCCGCTCTAGGCAAAGGACGGTCACGCCGCCCTTAAACCTAAATTGAAAATGGGGGGGTTCTCTATTCTGCTGCCCTTGACGTGAATATAACTGAGGCGCGGGTGGCGAGGGTAGTTTAGGGGACACCGCCCTCACAATTCTGCCGCCCTAGACGCGGATATAACTGTGGGTGCGGGTGGCGAGGGTAGTTTCGGGGACGCCGCTCTCTCTATTCTGCCACCCTAGATGCGAATGAGGGCGCGGGTAGTGAGGTTAGTTTCGGGGATGCCGCCCTCTCTATTCTGCCGCCCTAGGCGGCCGCCTAGGTCGCCTCTATGGACGCGCCGGCCCTGCTGGTGATTGAGCAACTGTGGCAATGGATTATAATGTTTCCTTTCCCTACTTCAGGGAAGGAGGGTTACATCAGTAACCAAGATGTTTCCTTTCAGGTCAGGAACTCCTACATTATATTGAAAAATACTATGGGAAAATGTATGGAAAGCACCATAGTGGCCAAATGTGGTTCGCATTTGGTGAGGAGCTTGCCAAACGAAATGCATGAGCACACAGCGTCATCAAAACCATAACATTTCAAAGTTCCCGGGCCCTTTTATTACCAGAATCTGGGAATCCTACAATATTTCAAGGGGGAGGTCATAAGAGTTTTTAACCTAGCTACTGTAGGTTAGGATTTTTTAATTATGACAGTACATTAGGACATCATCCCAGTCCCTAAGTGGGAGGGTGCTGTCCAAATGGGAAGACATTGTGACAATACGCAAATATGGGCTAGCCCTATCCTAGGAAGAGCACTACATATGAGCAAGATGTTTAGCTGGTGGGGAAGACACGGGTCCAGCCTCTAAGGTGACTTCACTGTGGCTGACTAAGCATATAGCATCACCGAGCAAGGATGCACATAGCAGGCATCGATCCCCAAAATGCAGGCTGACCATACCAGTGAACATAATGGGCCATACAGATCCTCCACTGAGTCGGATGTTGGGGGCCTCAGGTGAAACTTCCTAGTGTTCACCTGATAGGCAACTAACTAGCAGAGAAGAATAAGTGCACACATCTCTGGGTTAGGGAGAATGGCACAGTAAGAGTTTTTATCAACTAGCCTGGCTTTCTCCTGACTTGCTGACATTACCCAGCAATTGGGAGGAAAAATCTGTAAAGTCTTGCAAATGTGTTAGGTGTTGCCCAACCAGCAGCACTACAGATGTCTGTTAGTGAGGCGCCATGTGCTAATGCCCAGGAGGAGGGATCACTCCAAGATAAATGTGCTCTCACTCCTGAGGGGACACCTTGGCATGCGTATGTGAGAGCATACATAACAGAACGACCACCATAACAGATGAAGAGCTGCCCAGGTTCCCAACACTTTTGATAGAAGCCAACATGACCACCAGAGCTGTCTCAATTGACAGAATTCAGGGATACTCAAGTGGTTTAAATGGATCTCTCTGTAGTCCCGAAAGCGCTACAAAAAGATCCATAAAGGGCATAAGAGGTCGACAGAATGGATTTAGGCACAGTTTAGGATTTGTACAGTGTGAAGGGTAACAATCTCTGCTCCAGATTTTTCTCAAGGAAAGCTTAAGGAAAGCACAAAGCTGATCTGGAATGTTTAGGGGTCTTCTCAATGAGAAACGCAACACTCACTGAATAGATTCCACTTCAGGGCGTAGATTAATTGATGGTGTCATTCCACAAACCTGCAGCTGCATGTTCAGTGCACACAGTCCCTTGCCTGTACTGGAAGCATCTGTCAAGATGACAACATGCCTGGAAACCTGTTCTAAGGAACATGCCTGGACACCTGTTCTAAGGTGCACCCCTGCTCATGGAAATGCAAAGTTCGTCCAGGGACTGAAGATGTGGCAACTCATCACAGGGGAGAGCTTGCTCTTATCTCAGTAGACTCGAAGCTCCAAATGGTTGAGGTGCCGAAGCAACTTGTCCCTGTACATAATCAATTGATCCCAAGACTGAGCTAAAATAAGCCAATCATTAAGATAATTGAGAATGTGGATACCTGAAAGCTTGAGAGGTGAGAAAGGCGCCCTCCATACCTATGTGAGCTCTCCATGTTTTTTCGGGAAGAAGGGAATGAAGGCCTGGGGGGTTTGCCTTCTTACTTTTTGGACCCTACATAGCATCCCTCTAGTCGATCTGGCAGTAGGGTGGGTGATCACACCTCCAGCCCAACTATAGAAGTAGCCTGGGAAAGCACAAACATCATATCGAATTCTATGTCCTGTACTGCAAGCACCCCAGAGGGTGGGAGCAGCTATGCGCTGCAGGGAAGCAACAAGAGTGGCTCGCACATTTACAAGTACGAGCCGCGATCTCAGCTGCGCAACAAACATACCCTCATATTGAGGGCATGAAGTGCGCAGCTCGACTGCCACTGAATGTGCTGTCACCCCACTGGATGCAAAACTGGAGCTCTCAAAACGGTCTCAGCAATAGCAATGTGTCTTTCTTCAATGCAAGTTGGCTCTGAAGCAAAAGTCTGACAGGAACTGCGATTTCGCAGGCCAAAGTTCAATAAGCTTGAACTAAGCGAATTGCGAAACTTACCACACGAGCTTGCATTTAAGTCTGTCACATTCGCGTATGTATGAATGGAAGTCTATGGGGGAAAAGTGCAGTGTGACCGCAGCTTTACTCTTCGGAATGATTAGTCACCTGAAAATTCCCCATGATATTGTTCAACAAAATGTTGGAGTTCCTGACCCTAAAGAATTGTAACCGTTGGGATGTAAATTCTAATTCAAATGTAGTACCAACTCTAATAGTATGTGATTTTAGATACAGCTACAATCATTTTAATGTTACAGTAAATTACACAAATAAGTAAATTTATACCTGATATCTTTTCTATCTCCTCTCTGCAGAAATCCTCCAGTTTCTCTCTCAGACGAGACACAGATTTACCAACATCATCAAAAGAGAGAGAAGAGCTGACAGTGATGCTGGATGAGTCTGTAGATCCAGGAGGAGTAGAGAGAGACTGGAAACTCTATACAGACACAACACAAACAGCAGCTAAAGACACACACACATCTGACAGAAACACAATCTCTGCACAACATGCTCTTCCACTGTGCTGTTTGTCAGATCTGTGTTACCTGGAGGAAATGGATGTGATGGTCTGTGTGTGAAAGCTGCTCCAGCTCAGCGTCTCTCCTCCTTAGATCATCAATCTCCTGCTTCAGTCGCTCCAGTCGTCCTTCAGCTGCACTCACTTGTGCCTTTTCCTGATCTCTGATCAGCTGCGTCACCTCAGAGCGTCTTCTCTCAATGGAGCGGATGAGGTCAGTAAAGATCCTCTCAGTGTCCTCCACTGCTGCCTGTGCAGAGCACTGTTAGGACACACCGAGAGAGAAGCAGCAGAATCAGTCATTCACTCAGCTCTTACTGCTGCTTCACACAGACAGCATGTTCCCCACAGGGGCTTCAGTGGCACTCAAAGTGCTCCAGCACTGGGCTCCTCACTGACTGACTGCAGAACAGTGCTAACTGAGTCTCAATTAGCTCTTCCAGCAGTCAGCAGTTGATCTTCTGCTCAAAACTCACCTTCTGAGACTCTATAGCCACTCTCAGCTCCACACACTCCTCCTGTTTCCTCTGGATTCTCTGATTATGTTTACTCTGGGTTTCCTCCAACTGCCTCTGCAGAAATCATAGAATACAGTAAATACATTACATTTACTACACTTGTCACAAATTTATTTAATAGTTTGTATAGTGTAATATGGATCATACCTGTTTGTCAGTCCTCTCTGCTGTAGCTGATACGATCTCATGGTTTTTGTGTTCATCCACACACAGCAAACAAATACAGCACTGATCAGTGCGGCAGAAAACCTCCAGTAGTTTGTCATGTTGAGGGCAGATCATCTCCTGCAGTCGTCCAGTGGCGTCCATCAGATTGTGTCTTTTACCTCTGAAGAAACTCTCGTGTTGTTCAAGATGATTTTGGCAGTAAGAGTTCAGACACACCAGACAGGATTTGACGGCTTTGTTTTTGTCTCCGGTACAAACATCACACTCCACATCTGCAGATTCAGAGTAACAGTGAGCAGGACGAGCAGCTTGTAGTTTGGTCTTCTTGAGTTGCTCCACCACTTCAGCCAGCATGGTGTTTTTCCCTAAAGCAGGTCTTGGAGTGAAGGTCTGTCTGCACTGAGGGCAGATGTAGACTCCCCTCTGCTTATCCTGATCCCAATAGCCGGAAATACAGCGCATACAGTAACTGTGTCCACAGGGAATAGTTACTGGACCCTTCAGTAGATCCAGACAGATTGAACAGCTGAACTGATTCTGAGACCACGAAATACCAGCTTCTGCCATTTTCTTGCACAAAGAGAAAAAAACAAAAGCTTAGCTAACTTTCATTTTAGCTAAACTGGTTTTTCCTGATTTTGCATGTAAGAAAAATACAAACAGTGACTATTGAACAGCAGGCTGTATACGTGCAAATAATAGTGCAAGAGAAAAAAAATCTACAAAAGTTGATAACAATTTAGATATATTTTAAGGATTTAAAAAGAGTATAAAAAGCATTGACAAAAACATCATTTTTTATTACTGTCGTTCAGCGTCCACAAGATGGCGGTGTCGGTCAGAAACACAGTCCGCGGGGGTGTGAAGGCGCGGTGCTCCGGCAGGGGGCCCTCTCACTAGCTATGGAATTTTCCATGTCTGTTTAGTTTGTGCCAAACACATGATGCAGCACATTCTAGACCAGAGCTGTTCAACAGGCTCATGCAAGATCATTACACAAAATAACACTTCATTTTGATTACAGAATTCAAAACATCTTGAAAGCACCCTTTATGTTACAATATATGCTACTCAACACTTAGATACAGCTAAACACAGATGGGCATGCACATGTTAAGTCATTTATTTACATTACAGTAACACTGAAGGATTGGAAGAAGTAGTTAGAAGTAGTAGAAGTAGTATTTTTACTTGCATTATTGTGGCAACATCCTGCTGAAAACCAACTAAGTGCTAGTTTGCTAAATTAGTTCAAGCTGGTTACTCATTCAGACCTGATTGAAACTATTAATGTTTACTTAAAGGGACAGTTTTTCACCCAAAAATGAGACTTTTTTTTTACCTTTATGGGCATTTTTGTCTTTTTCATGTTAAATATTTTGATAATTATGGCTGGGTAGTACAACCGCCTCACAGCAAGAAGGTCGCTGGTTTGAGCCCCGGCTGGGTCAGTTGGGATTTCTGTGTGGAGCTTGCATGTTCTCCCTGTGTTTGCGTGGTTTTCCTCCGAGTGCTCCAGTTTCCACCACAAGTCCAAAAACATGCAGTATAGGTGAATTGGGTAAGCTAAATTGTCTGTAGTGTGTGTGTGTGTGTGTGTGTGTGTGTGTGTGTGTGTGTGTGTGTGTGTGTGTGTGTGTGTGTGTGTGTGAATGAGTGTGTGTGGATGTTTCCCAGTGATGGGTTGCGGCTGGAATGGCATTCACCGCGTAAAATATATGCTGGGTAAGTTGGGGTTCATTCCGCTGTGGCAACCCCAGATAAATAAAGGGACTAAGCTGAAAAGAAAATGAATGAATGATTAATTTCAAAATTAGTTTTTATGTAACAGAGAAATTAGTTTTTTTTATTGTGAAACCTCACCAATTTTACTGCTTTAAAAAATGGTTCCAACCATTAATATTATCATGAGACTGTTATTATAATAATAAACAGCATAAACTTTAGTATGGAAAACATTCAAGTTTTATTTAAAACAAAATCAGACTGTTTTAAAAAGTACAAATTCTTAACATGATTGAATTTTTAATAATAATAATAATAAAAATTCCATTCATTTATGTAGCGCATTTTTGGACACTCAAAGCACTTTACACATTTTGGGGCAGGATCTCCTCATCCACCACCAGTGAGCAGCATCAACCTGGATGACGTGAGGACATATTGACCCAGAACACACACCAGCTGATTGGTGGAGAGGAGTGAAGAAGCCAATTATGATATAGGGATGGTTAGGAGGCCATGACAGACAGAAGCCATTGGGCAAATTTGGCCAGGATGCCAGGCTTAAACCCCTGCTCTTTTTTGAAGGACATCCTGGGATTTTTAATGACCACAGAGAGTCGGGACCTCAGTTTGTTTCATCCGAAAGATGACACTCACTGAGCAGTATAGACTCCTCTTCACTATACTTGGGCATTAAGACCCACACAGACTGCAGGTTAAGCACCCCCTGCTGGTCTCATTTACACCATCTCCGGGAGCAACCTAAATTTCCCATGTGGTGTTCCATCCAGGTACTGACCAGGCACAACCCTGCTAGCTTCAGTGGGCGACCATGAGAGAGTTGCAGAGAGCTAGCTTTTTACCCACTTTTAAAAATAATTATGCTGATAAAGAAATCTTTGACAAAACAACAGCTGCGTCCCAAATCACATACTTATGCACTATTCTACGCCATTTTGTAGTAAAATAGTGTAAATAGTGCGTTCACACTGAAAACTCTAAAAATAATAAGCGCACTTTAATTACCCGGATAATGCACTCATTCAGCCGCTAAAATGAAGTGTGTAATGATGGACACTTCACGCACTCCACGACCGCAGTTTTGCTCAGGCAGCGGTAGGGGGCGGAGCTATCAGGCGCACATGTTGAATAACTTTACCTGTTTTAGTTGGTAAAAGCAAAATTCTCCTAAGAGAGTGATTATAGCGCCTCCCGATGGTGAATGCAGTTATACTCACGGCAGGTATTATTAGATAGTTTGGGCATTTACAGTTTGAATTATCGCTTAGTAAAAAAACAGTGTGCCATTTGGGACGACACTACATGCATATACTATCCTGTTGAGTGTGTAAGTGCATAGGTACATAGTGCATGAGTGCATAGTGTGCCATTTGAGACGCAGCTAAAACAATAATATATACTTTTTTTCCACAGAATTTTGACCATCCAAAGAAATACGCTGTGAGTTGGGTGAGCTAAATTGTCCGTAGTGTATGTGTGTGAATGAGTGTGTGTGGGTGTTTCCCAGTGATGAGTTGCAGCTGGAAGGGCAAAATGTGTAATGTGTAAAACAAATGTGTAAAACATATGCTGGATAAGTTGGCGGTTCATTCCGCTGTGGCGACCCGAGACTACTAAAGCGACTAAGCTAAAAAGAAAATTTTGTCAGGTTAACTCATTTTTGGGTACAACTTTAGAGTAGTTTAAAGAGATAAGTTGACTCAACGTTAAAATAGTAAGTAAACCCATTGCCTTCAAATGAAGTATATGTGCATAATTATAAAAATGAAGTTGTCAAATTAGCTTAATTCCAAGTTACAATATGAATTAGTCAACTTGTTGCTTCTAAGGCATTGATTTTGCTAACTTAAAAAAAAGTAATGTAATTAATTGCTTTCCCAATACTGGGTTTTGGCTAGAAGGGCATTCGCTGCATAAAACATTCATTCATTCATTCATTTTCTTGTCAGCTTAGTCCCTTTATAAATCCGGGGTCGCCACAGTGGAATGAACCGCCAACTTATTCAGCAAGTTTTTATGCAGTGGATGCCCTTCCAGCCGCAACCCATCTCTGGGAAACATCCACACTTACATTCACACACAAACTACGGACAATTTAGCCTACCCAATTCACCGGTACTGCATGTCTTTGGACTGTGGGGGAAACCCGGAGGAAACCCACGCGAAGGCAGGGAGAACATGCAAACTCCACACAGAAACACCAACTGAGCCGAGGTTCGAACCAGCGACCCAGTGACCTTCTTGCTGTGAGGTGACAGCACTACCTACTGCACCACTGCCACGCCTTGCGTAAAACATATGCCAGAATAATTGGCAGTTCATTCATTTGTGTTGACCGCTGATAAATAAGGGAGTAAGCCATATGTCTCAAACTTAATTCCTGGAGGGCCGCAGTTTTGCTCCAACCTTGCTCAAACACAGCCGATCCAACTAATCAAGGTGTTCACAATGCCACGGTCACATTAGTTTGTGCTTGCGAAATTCTATCGTACAGCACTGCAAAAAGGAGCAGGATTGAACGATAATAAGACATTTTTAAAAAGCTAGCTATTGCGCTATATTTAAAATTTCAACCAGAGAAGTCATGTCTTGATCTTTGATCGGTCTCACGCAATCACATGATGCAATTTCGCTGGTCAGAGTTCACCGAGCTTGAACTTTCCAACACAGCGAACGGCAAAACTTGTTGATGAGCATGCGTTCCCAGTCTGATGCATTCGCATGTGTATGAATGGAAGTCTATAAGGAGAAAAGTCCAGTATGACCGCAGCTTTACTCTTTTGAACACCTCGATTATTTGGATCAGCTGTGTTTAATTATGGTTGGAGTAAAACTGCGAGAGCCGCGGCCCTCCAGGAATTGAGTTTGAGACCTATGGAGTAAGCTGAAGTAAAATGACTTAAGTAATTAATTTAATTAACTTTTTACAGTGAAGGCACACACATGCGATTAATACAGCTCCTCAAACTACATCAAACACATTTACAAAAATATTTTATTAAAAATAGATGTCAGCGCTCTGTACAGTGTGAAAGAAGGGCTGGGCGTACAATCAGTTACATTAACATCAATCATGAAGATTACTCGAAAACAGAAGCTATTTAAATATTAAACCAAGTCAATCCTCTGCCCAAACTACACAGAATAATACATCATCGAAAGTCACTGGCTCTATGTGAAGATGAAGCTGACTAACATAGTCTTGAGAAACAAAAGATACACACATCACACACACACACCAGTTAAAAGATAATGCCACCTGAGTTCAGGAACCTGCATTCGTTTTACTCACAAATGGCTTGTTTACTTTAAAACTTCACTTCTTGTATTATAATTAACGATTAAAGACAAATTCATAACAGTGATTTGAAATAATATACAACATTAAATCAAAAGCAGTGTTTGTGACGGTGTACTGCTCATCACATTCGATTAATCTGAGCACAGACGAAGCTGAAGTGTGTTTTGTCTGCCATTAGCGCTATGAAAATAATGACTTGTCATTGGTTAAGAAGTAGTTTGAATATTTTAACTTGCACTATTTGACAACATCCTGCTGAACGCCAAAGAAGTGCTAGTTTGTTAAACGAGTTCATGCATTTTTGTCTTTTTCATGTTAATATTTTGATAATTGTGGGTGTTTTTATGCAAACTATTTATTTTAAACTTGGGGCAAAATATTACTAGGGCCTCCAGAATAAATATGTTCCCATTCATACATTATACAGTTGAAGTCAGAATTATTAGCCCCCCTGAACTATTAGCCCTCCGGAGAGAAGATTTGCTCAGCACATTTCTAAACATAATAGTTTTAATAACTCATTTCTAAAAACTGATTTATTTGATCTTTGCCATGATGACAGTAAGTAATATTTGACTTGATATTTTTCAGGACACTTCTATACAGCTTAAAGTGACATTTAAAGGCTTAACTAGGTTACTTAGGTTAACTAGAAAGGTTAGGGTAATTAGGCAAGTTATTGAATAACGATGGTTTGTCCTGTAGAATATCGAAAAAATATAGCTTAAAGGGGATAATACTGTAATCTTGAGCTTAGAATGTTTTTAAAAAAAAATTTAAAACTGCTTTTATTCTAGCCGAAATAAAACAAATAAGACTTTCTCCAGAAGAAAAAATATTATCAGAAATACTGTGAAAATTTCCTTGCTCTGGTAATCATCTTTTGGGAAATATTTGAACATAAATTCAAACTGGGGCTAATGATTCTGATTGCAACTAAATTTAAAATGTTAAATATTTCTGCACATATTTTCAGGTTTGGACTGTGTATTGTGTGCTATATTATATTTAGTATATATTTCCTGTGTTCTGCATGTATGCACTAAAGTCTAAATTAGTTAATTGATTTGTATTATTATTATTATCATTAATTTAGTTTTATGAATTGATATTAACTGATGACTCTGCCCCAAGCTCAGCCTATTGGGTTGCACTAATGTTGCATAATGGGTTGCTTTACAAGTAATGCGGTATGCATATTAAGATAGCATAGTAAAAAGCGTTTAAAATCAAATATTACACCTTATCGTGGAACTTTGACAGGAAGTGATTCAAAAAGATGTGCTAATGCTTGCATTTTTTTCACTTGTACATTTTTAAAAGCATGCTGAGTGAATTTAGGGACGTCTGTGTGATATAATAGTAATTTAAAGCAGTTCTTAGGGGATAGTTCCTAAAAAATTAACATTCTGTCATCAATTAATCAGCTTTAAGTCATTTTAAATCTATAACATTCTTCCTGAGGAATTATATATATATATATATATATATGTATAGTGCTCGGCATAATGGAGTACACCCCATTTCTCAGTGAATAAAGGCAATGTATTTTGGTGCATTTAAACAAAATAGATTTATTAAACAGATATATTTATTAAAATAAAATTTTAGCCACCAAACATATTTAGAAAGATAATGAAATTAAATTTGAGTAAAATATTGCAAAAATAAAATAACAACCGACAACATTTCACTTGATTATTACTTCTCTCAATTTTTTCTCTTTTTAAAATTTGTATTTAATATTTTTCTATAACATTTAAATTTGGGTGTACTAGTTTTAAGACTGTTATCGTAAGTTATTTTGTTAGATACGCTTTAGATTTGACTTCAGTACTGACTAATCTAATGTACATGGCATGCACAAATATAAAATTCTATAGCTTCGTATTAACAATATAAATTTAAAAGATGGGTTTATGAGAAGTGTACTTATATATGCTGAGCACTGTATTTAAAGAACCAGTTTTGTTTCTTATACTTAAAGTCAATGGGGTCCAAAATAAATCACAATTTTGTTTTAAATGCCAGGAATAAAAATGCATACAGTGTACAAAATACCAATGCTAGCCTTTTAAGAATTTACATTACGATTCATGAAGCTATGGGTCACAAATACATTCAGCTTTTATGACTGCTAATAAACTTAAAACAGTTCAATCCATCTAATCCAAACACATTATCTCAACTATACAAAAATATTGTGTTTTAATAATTAGGTCTTTCACACTGCATACATAAGCTGCACGACCTGAAGCTGCAGCTCAATACAGAAAACATATAGCGGTTTCTGGGTGTACATTAAACAGATCATTATATTTACAACTAGATTCAAACTGAATGCACTCGAGGATTCATTATTTCATATTCAAAATAGAATGTGTAGCTAAATAGAAACGGTCATTGTAAATACAAGTTGCATCAAACAATCGATGAGCATATCATTACATTATTTTAAGCTGCTTTAAATGGACTGACATAATATTTTCCCCCATATTTATTAGGAAATTCTGTGAACGCCAGAAATGATATGCTGCTTATGCATGCAGTGTACTGTTAACATGGCCAGTTATGTCATTATAACTTTATCCTTTCCTGATTTCAGTTTAAAATAGAAAAACAGACTTGCTTTCACAAATACTAATAGAGTTCCAGTTAACAAAAACAAACCAGACAGACAACAGCAATAATATACGCCGATAATACGTAAATACGTCCACCAAATCGTTATTACCTCCAATGCTGGCATATGTTTTAAAATAAATGCTTGATTTCTGATTTCTTTCTTTGTTTATTTACATTTTTTTTCTGGTCATTGAGAGTTAAAAATATTCATCCAGCCAATGTTTATCTGCCCAATCTAAGCAAGGCTCATTCTGAAACCGTAGCCCTATATACATTTCTGGTGACTGCGAATTATGTAGCCAGAAGTACGTATGGCAGCATTTTGTCTTTAAAACGAACGCTATGGAGTGGTATGACGCTGATCCTTTTCTCGCTTACCGGTAACTTTGTACGGTAGCTTGACATGTACGTCGGCGGACTTGAGACAGAGCAGAGTTGACCGCAACAATGGGGTTCGAGTCTGATGAAGGACAGTTTTAGAAAGCAGGTAAGACAAAAACAAAATCCAAAAAATAAAATAAACAAGTAAATAACAGGGTGGGAATGTGGTAAAATCTGAAAACGTGGTAAAAATCAGGCTGAAAGAGCTTTTCTTTTTCTGGATTGCTTTTGAAAACACTCTCGGTTGGGTTTGGGAAGTAGGTGGATCAATCGATGCTTTTTAAAACACTATCGGTGGGTTTTAGTGAAGGGGGCGGGTGGGGTTATCAGTCGGTTGGTCAATCAGTTGACAGCGACCTCTGGTGGATTTACTTGAGGACAGCAGGTGCGAAAGGCAAATTTGAGATCTGAAAAAGTGTACACAGCGCCCTCTGGTGAATTTGCGAAAGCAAAAACTATAAAAAAACGTAGCTCCTGGGATGTATTTTGTGCTCTCCAGAAATGTGTATAGGGGTACGTAATCAGAATGAGCCTGGGTTAAATTTAAGTGTTAAATCAAATCATTTTAAGCACCCTCTGGTGGCTGGCTGCAGTATCGGTCAAAAATTGTAAAAATTAATATTCATATTATAATCATATTCAAGCACTCAAATCTGAGCATTTTTAGCTGGCGAGAAACGCTTTTGTGAACACATGAACCTAAAATGCATATTTCTGTGTGTGTGAGGATACATTGCAGGTAGCAGTAGACCTCTGCATCCTCAAAGCAACGTTTGCATCTTCTTATAAAAACATTTGGCCAAACAAACGAACGAACGAAGCGATAAAATCCAGGCGGTGCAGCAGTAGAAGTGAGGAGACGGGTATTGTGTGAATCACACAGTCCTTGAGCAGTGTTTGTGAGGGTTATTCAGGCTTGTGGCAGTAGATGTCTTTAAGGGCTTTCAGCTCCTCTATGAGAGTCTTGTTCTGGTTTTCCAGCACGGCAACCCGATTCTCCAAACACTTCACGTATTCTTTCTTTTTTCTGCGACACTCGCGCGCTGCCTCCCTATACGAAAAGAAAAAAGGAGAAACAGAAATTAGCACAAACATAGAGATGCATATTGCTGTCTATACTATATATTGTATATTGCTGGCTATAAAAACACAAACTGGTGTCTACTGGAGGATGAGCATAGATGCAGACTAAAATACTGCACAGACACCCATGACAAATCAAGATAATCTGCACATTTAATAAAAGAAGGGTTCTTAAATAAAATTAACATTCATTCATTTTCTTTTCGGCTTAGTCCCTTTATTAATCAAGGCTTACCACAGGGGAATGAACCGCCTGAAATGAACATATCCTGCATGTTTTATTTTAGACTTTCTGAAACATATAATGCTCCAAGCAAATTTAGAGGGGACATAATATGACCCTACAAGATGTAAAATAAGTCTCTGATGTCCCTAAAGTGTGCAAGTGAAGTTTCAACTCAAAATACCCTACAAATAATGTTTAATACAATTGATGTTTTCAAAATAATTATTTGACACTGCCTCTCTTAGGCTTTGATCCTAATTGTGTAGTTTTGGTGACTGTCACTTTAAATTCAAATAAGATTGTGTTCTTTTAAAAAGAGGGCAGAGCTACAAATGCCAATGGCTGCGTCCGAAACCGCCTACTACTCTCTCGCGGGGCATCATGGGATAGTGCAGCAAGCATGGGATGCGCACTTCAGAATCTCGCCGGAAGTAGTAGGTCATCCAGGTACTTCTCGCATACTGTTTTTAAAATTCTATAAATTCGGACATACTACTCGGCTTGCATACTGATATTAGCGTACTATATAGTATGGAAGTATGCGGTTTTGGATGCAGTCTGTGTCAGCATAGTGGCAGATTCGAAAACAAGACTAATGTCTTATGCTAAAGAGAGAGAGAGAGACTGTCACTAACGGGTGGGGCTTTCCCTCTCTGATGACATGAACAAATGGAGAATGTTAATCAAAGTGTTTCTGCACTTTTTATGAAGTGTGATTATAAAAAATAAAACACAAATTTTTTTATGTTCGAAGCTGGTTATATTCTCAGACTGTGTTTAAACCATTTAAAAAATTGATTTTGCATAATAGGCCAGTAAAAATAAAATGACTGAAGAAAAAATTCCTTTTTAAAGGGTCACGAAACACCAAAACACATTTTTTGAGCTGTTGACAGTCGTATATGTGTCCCACACTGCTAAAATTTAATTAGGACACCTATATTTCTCTAAAAAGTGTAAAATGGTTGTTTTTGCGTTATTTCAAGCAAATTCGTACTTCCGGTTTGAAACTAATTTTTGAAGCTGCGTCACGGTCATGACATAATAGCGTGTATTCCAGCGTGCAGACTGGGCGTCTGTGCCAGAGTGAGTCTTATTACGTCTTACAGGCTGCTGCATTAATGCATGAGTAAAGCTTGGTTCAAACCATTCAGCGCGCTCTATTGTGCAACTTCATTAATATTCATTACTATCACCGTGTTTTCAGGACAGAGACGCCACGTTGTGTTGGCAAAACAAGCGTGAAGTGTTGCTTTTATAGTTTGCTGCAGTTAAGTTTCGTTTTCATTTTCTCTCTGTGAGAGCTCAGACTCACGTGTGGATTAACAGTGTACGCGACGCGCGACAACAATAACTTATGTGTCTAAGGAGGATTATTGTTTACCTGAGAGCTGTTCTCATCTGCAAACGCTGAGATCTGGATTCGTTTGTAGTCTTCTCTTTATAAAGACGCGCCTCTAGTTGCTGGTGATTGTCCTGTCTCTACAGATTTGGTAAGTGAGCGACCAGTGCTCTTTGTTTATTCCGTTTGTTCGTATCGAACAAACTATTGCACCAACTGTAAACATGTTAGCACCACAACCAAACTTTAACCTCGTGTAGGGTTTTTACCGCATTTTGTGACCGGAATAACACGCACGGCTTTCTGACACTACCTGCCGTGTGCATCTAAGTTTCCGGGAAATGCGGAGGGTTTTTTTCTCTCCTTCGCCGTGCGGTATCAAACATTGCATGAAAAATACACACTTAGAGCAGCTCCTCGAATCAAATATCTTGTGTGTCGCGAGGGGCATGAATGAATTCCCTGAATGAAAGAGCCAAACTGCAGTTAAAGTCCACCATTTAATAATTTGGCAAATAATTCGACTACAGATGTCCATGTAGGTTAAACACCATCACTTTCTCCTGTGTGTGAGTATTTTGACTCTGAAACTCACGCGTGCCCAAATAGACACTCCCACACCCTCCCACTTTAGTTCCTACAACACTCCCCCCTAAACAGAGCTGGACACGCCCACTTTTCTGACTTTTTCCAAAGTAGAGGTGTGAAAACACCCTGCTGAAACGAGGGGGTTTCATGGCCCTTTAAAAGTGATTTTCAGATGACGCTTAGAGACATTTGCATCTGAACTCTTCAAATATGTACCTTGGGTTACTTCATCCTTGCAAAATTGAATGATGTTTTCAACATTCATTTAAAAGATTGTATGGATAAGACTTTTATGTTTGAGCGGTTAAATTCGCTTGTAGCTTTATACATTTCATAAAATCTGAATAAAAATAGCAGGATTTGTTCATTGCATATATAAAAACAGCAAACTAAAGCTAGAAAAACACTTTACTTAATATGGCATACATGGATTAAACTTGTGCATCTGTTGAATAATTTTTTTGTTTTATTTTTAAAATATTTTCCAAGGTTTTTAACATTGGTGTTTTCAATTTTCACAGTATTTTCTATAATATTTTGTCTTTTAGAGAAAGTCTTTTTTGTTTTATTTCGTTTAGAATAAAAGCAGTTTTTTAATTTTGTAAAACCAATTTAAGGTCAATATTATGAGCCCCTTTAAGCAACATATTTTTTCGATTGTCTAAAGAACAAACCACTGTTATAAAATGACTTGCCTAATTACCCTAACTTGCCTAATTAACCCAGTTAAGCCTTTAAAAAGCACTTTAAGCTGAATGCTAGTACATATTAAACATATTTAGTCAAATATTATTTACTGTCATCATGACAAAGATAATATAAATCAATTATTAGAAATGAGTTATTAAAACTGTAATGTTTCGAAATGTGTTGAAATTTTTTTCAGTTGAAAACAGAAATTGGGGGAAAAATATACAGGGTGGCTAATAATTCAGGAGAGCTAATAATTCTGACTTCAACCGCATGTCTTCTAACTGAATTTCTTTTTCAAAGGAGCCTGTAGAAGATGATGAGTCTAAGCAAGAAGTGTGCTTTGATCACTGTATTTTTCCATCTCTGCTTTTTTGCTGGTAGTTAATGTCCAAACTGTCCATCAAACAAACAGTAAGGCATAATATAATTCTCACAAAAATAAAACTTGCCTAATTACACCTCAGATTTTTTCTCACATATATTTTATTCACAGCCTGAATTTCTGATATTCTTGTATTTCCCACATCAACCTGTGCCTTTGCTAATCACTATGCTATATATGTTGATGACGTGAGCATGTGTGGAAAACAAGATGGAGAGAACCTTTTTCACATGACAAAATAAAAACAGTACTATATTATATACTATTATTTAAACAGCCATAGCAACTATTCCTGCCTTAATAACTGCAGAATGCATATTCTCCCTCATACACAGAAAACCTTGACGGTACATCTGGCTGTGGATTTGGAACTACACACAGAGTAACATTCACACTGTCTTCAGAAAAGTTTAGCTAGTAGTGTATTACTTTCTCTGTTTAACATTAAATATAAGCACAGTTGTTTGGTTTACATAAATAAATGTTGTAATTTCTGCATTTTTTAAAGTTCAACCTAAAGCAGAATGTGAATACAATGTTTTATTCATGATATTTATGTATATTATTGTACAGATCTGTTCTTTTGTACCATAATTTCACAAACCAAAAGTTGCGTGATTATGTTTTTTACATTATTTACTTGGACCTATTGGCTTGTACAAAGTCAGTGATGATAAATGGAGACTGGTGCATGACTGAATGACTGAGGCTCAGGTGTGTTTTACCTGTTCTTCATCAGACGGACTTCTCTCTTGCGCGTGGCCTCCTCTGCGTTGGGTTGCGGGCTGTGCATCGCCCCTGGTGACGATGCCATGACAACACCTGGAGGCAGCCCTGACGACGGCGAGCGGATCTGATATGCTGGCATGTCTCCTGTGGCAGCTGCATGCACAAACACACAGGCAAACACACACACACACAAACACACATGATAAATTGACAGATAAAAAGGTGTTCACATTTTTTACATTTGATTGGGTACACGTATAGTCAGGCGATGTCATGCGGATGTTGATATGAACTTTACAGCATATTAATCGTGGATATTATTGATTTCTACTTTTATGACTTGTGTAGAAACTAAGAAGAATAATGTTGATAAATGAAGATTGGGAAATAAAACTAATTATAACTGTAAATGATTATCCATGGCTAATTTATGTTGACATCTGTGGGAATGTTGTTAAAGATTATAAATAAATAATGGCTTTAAAATTTTGTATGGTTTAATCTATCTAAAACTCATATGCATTGTATACATAACAATAATGTTTATCATTTATTATCTCACATAATGTGAATAATAAAACAATCAATTTCATTCATTCATTTTTTTTTCGGCTTAGTCGAAACACATATCTATCTATCTATCTATCTATCTATCTATCTATCTATCTATCTATCTATCTATCTATCTATCTGTCTGTCTGTCTGTCTGTCTGTCTGTCTGTCTGTCAGTCTGTCTGTCTGTCTGTCTGTCTGTCTGAAATTATAAAATTTAAACTAAAATTATGTAAAAGTCTCAATAAAATAAATATTCATGTTTTATCGCAGATTTTTTTATAATAATGACTGTTTTTACTATTATTATTAATTATAATAATAAGAATAACATATACAATAATATATTATATGAACACATTTATGTGTTTAATTATATGCTTATATTTAAATTATATATATATATATGTGTGTGTGTGTGTGTGTGTGTGTGTATATATATATATATATATATATATATATATATATATATATATATAATTTTTTAGTCTTGTATATACTTGATCTAAGACTCAGAAATAAATAAATGTGCATAATTGTGGTAAATGTTTAAGAAGTGTATAATACATAACTATAATCATATAATTAGATACTTAATTGTATTCATATAATATATTACTGTATATATTGCTTTTGTTATTAAAAATAACAACAACAACAACAATAATATTCTGTGATAAAATAAAACAGAAGTATTTATTTTATTGTAATTTTACTTTTAATTTGACATAATTTTAATTAAGAATAAATGAACTTATTTTACTTTTTATTTTCTTATTTCCAACATAAAAAGCTAATTGTGCAAATAAATGAAGTTGAGAAACAGAATGCAATAATAACTATTATTTTCTGCAACTGATTTGAACACTTCCTGAAAATGATCCAATTCATCTGACCAATAAAAAGCCACAGAACAATGGCTCCAACCAAACAACTCTGCCTAGGTCAAACTGAACTCCTCAGCTTATGTAATAAATCCAAAAGGACAACAATGAGGAGTTACATAAAAAAATAAAACTTCACATCTACCCAAACAGCATTAAAAACATACTCAATATTACACAAACAAAATGCTAACAAATGCTACACAAGGTCAGAGGAACAGCACAGACAGATTTAACACAGCAAAATCAACGTTGTGTGTGTGTGTGTGTGTGTGTGTGTGTGTGTGCGTTTGCTATCAGACAATGTGACAAAATGCTGACGTCAGTGTGTGCGTCGTTGCCCAAACCCCCCCCTGATTCCCCGTCTCTCCCTCTCTCTCTCTCTTCCAGGAAACAGACTGACGTCAAACAGAAAAGATCCTCCTCCCCCTTCATTCTCCCTCTGCTTTTGTCTCGCTCTCTTTCTCAATGATTCATGTGTGTGTGTGTGTGTGTGTGTGTGTGTGTGTCAATACACGGGCTGATTCCGCAGGCTGATTTTCGTGAAACAGAAACATGTCAATGAGCTTTTTTTTTTGACTGAGTAACAAATTTCAAAACCGCATGAATGGAAACAGCGAGAAAGAAAAACAAAAAAGCTGCTTTCCACACAATAAAAAATAATAAATATTTTAATAAATAATAAATATTTTAAAAAATATTTGTGTTGACACAACATGAAATAATTAAGTTAGCTTATTTGTTTTTACAAATTTAAGTGGATTGGACAAAAAACAATTAAGTTGTCCAAACAAACCCTTCAAGAATCATGTTGTTTCAGCTCAATTTAAAAAAGCAGTTTGAACAAACAGCAAACATCATGTTTTTGAGTGCATGTAAATGTGTTTGTTGAGTTTCAAAGAGTGTTTACAAACATTTACTTCTTTCAGATGTTTGATAAAGTTTACTAATTGTGATATTCACTATATTATCACGATTAATAACAGTTATTTACTTATTATTATGCTGTTTATTAGTATATTATTAAAAACAATGCTTGTAAGAGTGTTTATGTTATATAAGCCTATAGACTGTAAACAAAAATGCTGGGTTCCACACAATTCCTTCATGTTGTCCCAACACAATTTAATTTAGTTGTTTTTATGCAAATTTAGGTGGATTTAAAATAAAACAATGAAGTTGTCCCCCCAAAAAAACTTCACGAATTGTATTGATTTAGCTAATTTTAAATAAGCAGTTTCAACAAACAGCAAACATCATGTTTTTGAGTGCATGTAAATGTGTTTGTTGAGTGTTTACAAACTTTTACTTCTTTCAGATGCTTGATAGTGTTTACTAATTGTGTTATTCACTATATTATCACTATTAATAACCCTTATTTATTTATTATTACTACTGTTTATTATTATATTAATAACAAAAACAATTATAAGCAGGTTGATATGTTGTTTAAGCCTATAGACAGTAAACAAAAATGCTGGGTTGCACACAATTCCTTCATGTTGTCCAAACACAAAGCGATTAACTTAATTGTTTGTGTGCACATTTACTTTGATTGAACATAAAACAATTAAGTTGTCCCCCAAAAAAACTTTCAAAATTGTTTATTCAGCTTATTTAAAATAGTTTGAACAAACACAAACATGTTTTTGAGTGCATGTAAATGTGTTTGTTGATTTTTAAAGAGTGTATGCAAACTTTTACTTCTTTCAGATGTTTAATAGTGTTTACTAATTGTGGTATTCACTATCTTATCACTATTAATAACACATTTATTATTATACTGATTATTATTATATTAATCACAACAATACTTAAAAGAGTGTTAAGTTATATAAGCATATAGACTGTAAACAAATATGCTGGGTTCCACACAATTCCTTCAAGTAGTCCCAACACAATTGAACTTTTTTAAGTGGCTTGAACGTAAAACAATTAAGAATTGTGTTGATTCAGCTCATTTTAACTACGTAGTTAACAAGCAGCAAAATCGTTTTTGCTTGTACTTAAATAAGTATTTCATTATAATTGTATTATTTTACTTTAATAAATAAATAATAATTTTAATAATAAATACTACATTTAGGATTATACCATATTTTTAACGGATAATTTATTTATTTTAAATTAATTAATTAATTATAAAAGATGCAATAATGTTGTTATTATGATTGGTATTACTACGTGAATCGATATTAACTGTCTTCATGAAGCTATAATATATAATAATTAAATAATTAATAATAATTAATAATAATTTTTAAAAACATTTAATTATTTTGACAAATATTATTATTGCCATCATCATACTTCTAATAAATAATTTTTTGACCTTGTTTACAATTTTTGCAGTCTAAAAGCTTATACTTAACCATAAACAAACAAACAAACAAACAAACAAACAAACAAACAAACAAACAAACAAACGGCCCTGCACAATTATTATTTGACCACCTACAATAATAAATACTATACTTAATTATTAGACTAATTACTTATTATTATCATTATTATCTTTATTATCTGTATGTATTTGTTTTTTAATTATTATTATTATTATTATTATTGCTATTATCTGAAATTACAATTTGACTAGCAAAATGCAAAGTCAATAACACATATTTACTCAATAAACATTATAAAATAACATTTTCAGCAGTTTCTAGCTCATCAAACATCAAAACACAAAACTCCACACAATATACAGGCTCTACAGCCACACACACACACACACACACACACACACAGGCAGTGTCTCAGACCTGACTCGGTTTCTTCCCCGGTCACTGCCATCTCTATACTGTAGTAATCCAGTTGGGATAGTGTTTCCTCTTGATTTCCTATTAAAGCTCTGTCTTCCCTTCAGCTCTTCGCTGGCTGAGTTTCTCTCTCACGCGCTCCTACTGACTCTCTGTTAGAGTTGTGACACTTACTGTTTCCCTTTAACCCTCTCTCTCCTTCCCTATCTCTCTTTCTCCCTCCCTCCCTCCCTCTCTCTCTCGCTCAGTCAGATTACTATTAAGGGCATTGACATCACTATGACATCACAGCAGCCTCACAGGGAAATAACACACTGTCTCTGGAGAATGTATGTGTGTGTGTGTGTGTGTGTGTGTGTGTGTGAAAGAGAGAGAGAAACAGGACTCATTTTATATTAACATACAAGCTTATATTCATTGCTTAAAAAAATAGTGCAGTTGCATATTTATTTATTTAAGCTCAGAAGAGAAGAGAAGAGAAGAGAAGAGAAGAGAAGAGAAGAGAAGAGAAGAGAAGAGAAGAGAAGAGAAGAGAAGAGAAAAAAAGTTGTTGAGTTTGATGTATTTTTAGATCATGATGACGCAAAAGCATTTCAGCACAAACAAAAGGATACTGTGTCCATTTAACACCATAACACTCACACACACACACACACTCATACACACACTCACGTCAGTCTTATCACAGTGTTTATATAGACAAATATCTTCAAACATGCTGTATCTGTTAATCACATCTGCTTCAACAGGTCTGAAATCAGGCAAATTTCTGTTCTGCTCAGTGCTGGAGTAGTTTGACTCTTCCAGCCTTTACTCAGTACGCAAAACAAAAGTAGAAAACCTATCTTTTTTGCTACCTTACCTCAAACTTCAACCAAAACACACAAAATTAGAATAGTCAATTCACATCAAAGTCTATGCAATTTGTAATAAATTAATATTTGATGTTATTGTAAAT